TTCTACTACTTTTATGTTGTATTTTATCATGATATAAGGATACCAGATATAATATTGCCACGCACTAAACTCGTACACTCACGCGCATGACGTCACCTTGTGCTAAATTTTCAAAATGTATTCATGCTTGCGGATGAAACGAACTGTTGAAATTCTAATATAATTTACTAGATGTTTTATTTACTACGTAATTAAGCTTAAGTATTTAAATTAGTATATTATAAAAAATAACAATTTTCCCATAAGAGTGAAGTTTGATGGAGGGAGCCAGAATGCCACAAATTGCATGGACATGCCACAAATTGCCACAAATTCCGACTATGGAATGTGATTTTCATACAATATATATTTTATATACATATTACTACATATTATTGACTGACACGTTAGTTAAACTATTTCTTTTGAGGTTGCAGTCATTAATAGGGCAGGATAAGTAAAACTTTTTGTTCTTTTATTTAGCTTTCACAAAATTTATTCGCTTTTTCAGGATATGCTAAAATATGGTTATAAATATTTAATCTCCCAACTATATATATATATATATATATATATATATATATATATATATATATATATATATATATATATTAATAAAGTATTCAACTAGTGAATTCAGAGGTTAATCGGTCGTCCAGGTTGGCAAAATAAAAAACAGAAGTCACCTACTTCAATCACTCACCAGTGTTTTGTTTGTCTTCATTGGAGAACCATCTCTACACGAAGCCAAATGTACGTTTAAAATTTGTAATCTTTTTGCGAATATTATTTTTTGCAAAGTTTTTGTGTCCTTTGTTTCTATTTTTTTTAAGTTAGTTCTAAATAATGAGTAAACTTAAGTACATATATAATAAAATCTTTAATACTACATATTGAGTTAGAACTGATGAAGCTTTAGAAGTATAAAGCGAAATGTCTTCTATAAACTTATAAAGTAGTTGATTCTGTTTTATATTTTGGCAACCTGAATGACCGATTCATCAATTCAATCACTTTCAACAAAGTGCTTAGAGCAAACACGAGCAAATTTAACATTAAAATTATCCTGGCGTTTACACAAATGTTTCCAAACAGCTTGCATTTCCTTGTCTTTTGGAAAGCTATAAAATGCTGTACCGGGTACAAAACTCTTGCACATATTGTCAACGGCACAACTATACACTGCACACCTCATATCGGGAAAAATTTAAAGCCTTCTAACACTTTTAAAATATTATTTTATTAAATATTGGCTATGAACCGTAAATGTACATAAACGTCAAAACACAATATGGCGAAATTTAGCACAAGTTGACGTCACAAAAGTCATGCATAAGCCACGCCCACATGCGCGGTATCTTATCTGTTTGTATTTGTATCATGGTATTTTATTACTACTGTATGGTGTATCATCTGGATCACAAGGTTTTCTAATTTAAGCATTATTTATAGTGTGTTCTACCTCGCATTAAACCTAGTATTAGTAGATATAACCTCCTCGGACCCCAGGTATATATTATATGATACTACGGTTCAAAAAATTATTTTTCGCATTCGACGGCAAACGAGGTTATTCTGCCTGTAAGTATCGCCCGTGTTAAGCATCCTTCATGCGTAGAAAATTGCGCCGTGGCATACTTCTCGATTGAAATGAGTTAGCCAGACTTTTGTTGTGAGTAAGTAAATACGTCATGGCAGACGCTAAAAAAATCATCAATAATAAAAAAAGTACATAATATTTAGCATGTTTCTGTGTATGATCAGTGCATTTTAGTATTAAAGAAAGGTACTAAATTAAAAAATTGTAATAAATTGATGATAGGTACAATAGATGACCCAAAAGTATCATCAATGATACCTTGGGTCCTAAACGGTAGTGTATTTTAAAATATTTTTTTTTTATTTTAGGGCCGCTGACTGCGACTGAACTTCAGGAAATCGCAGATAATGTGAATTTAGATGACTCTGATTTGGATCATTCTCTTTTTCCTGACAGTGATGATGATGGAAATGAATGGGATGAACCTAGAAATATGGATGAGAATGAAATAGTTATTGAAAGTGAGGAAGAAAAGAGTGACGATCACGCTGAAATCAGTGACATATCAGACGACGATTCGGATGATGACATGCTCTTGGCAACCCGGCTTTTAAAGGAAAGTAACTCGGCAAATTCTATTCCTAAAAAGATAGGAATGAATGGAAGAGAACACATTTTACACCACAATTTGCCCAATATCAACCCTCTGTGCAAGATCCCTTGAATCCCGAAAATATTCCAAGACCTATTGACTACTTCGATAAATACATCGACAACAATTTTTTTGAATCCATTGCGTTGTACACACATATGAAGGAAGTAAAAAAAACTGGAAAATCTTTGGAGACTTCTGCAGAAGAATTAAAAACGTTTATTGCATGCTGCTTGCTTATTGCTTATTGCTATATTATAATTTACCACGAATCCGAATGTTTTGGCAAATGGATACCAGGGTACCAATAGTTTCAGACAACATGTCAAGAAATCGTTTTTTTGCCATTCGAATACGACTCAAAATTGTTGACGATGATTCTGTGACCAAGGAAACTAAAGAAAATGATAGATTCTGGAAAGTAAGACCATTGTTGGATCAAATTCAAAGGGCTTGTCTGAATAATGAAAGAACTGAAAAAGTGTCAATCGATGAGCAAATGATTCCCTGTCATGGAAAAGTATTAATGAGACAGTTTGTGCGAGGAAAACCTAACACTGTAGGATTGAAGAATTTTGTCATGACGACTATGGGGAGGATTCAGACTGCACCAATCCCTGATAAACGCTTACGGTCAAAGGAAGCTAAACACCTCCCAGAATTCGTTAATGAAAGCCAAAAATCAAGATCAAAATGCAGGTATTCTGGATGCCACAACCTGACGTTTGTCAAATGTGCCCGGTGCAAGTTTTTTTTTTATATTGTAGTGTCAATAGAAATTGTTTTACTAAATTTCATCAATAAAAATATAAGTGAGCATTAATTTTTTTATTGTCAGTCCAGACCCAAAGTATCACTAGCGATACTGCAATTTTTGAAAAAACCAATAGGGTTTTTTTTATTTTTTGGTTTTTATGATTAGTAATCCCAAATTGTAGCATTTTTGATTGGCAACAAAAAAATCACTGCAATTCATGTTTGGGCCCGAGAAGGATAAATATTTTTTTCTTCAAACGTCAAATAATGATGACATTACTTATCTAACTTGATCCTGTCAAAGTTTGATGTCTCCGCCGGCAGCAGTTTTTTTTCCCATTTCTTTACGGCGGAGGGAAAAATGTTGTCATGGCAACAATATGAAACATGTCACAAAGCAACAATACAAATGTCATTAACAACAATTAAACATCATTTTTATTTATAGTAATATTAAAAGTACAATTAGTTAATGAGGCATTTTCAAAATTGAAACCGTGCAAAAATGTTCCCGACTCTTGATACGCATTGGTAATTGTTGATGATACTGATGGTCGAGAACAACTTTCAGCAATCATTCCCGATGTTGGCGAATCATGAGAGTTTAAAATTTTTGAGCATTATCGTTCTTATTTCTTATTGAATCCTCTATATATCCTTCGGTAACCGTGCTTGATTTCCAGCCCCCATGTCGTTTGAGGCATTCTAGATTTCCGCCTCCATCAATTAAAAGTGTTGCTGAAGTTCGTCGTAAAGAGTGACCCGTGTATGCGCTTGATCGTTTAAATTTAAATAACTAGCTACTTTTTGGGCTACTGCGCTGATCGAATGTATTCCCATGACGCTTCGGTAACACTTTTCATTTTAGTACTTGATAAATGTTCTGTGAAATTTTCAGGCCGCAGTGATGCATACTTTGTATACAGTTTAATGTAGTTTTGACCAATTATCGCAAAAGATCTAATTTGTCGTGTTTTACTGTCTGGGATTTTACTGTCTGGCATTTCGTCGCATCGACAGGCGCCGGTAATCCCAATTAACAAAACAATCTGAAATATTTTTATAATTTAGTAGAGTATACTACATGCTTTGCAATATAATTTTTTTTACCTTTAATCCCAAATACAACTTATCTGGCGCTTCAAACAAAAATTTATCAAACTCGTCTTTAGTGAAACTTTAGACTTCTTTGCAGTATATCCTTCGCTTGTTTTTTTCAGAAAGGCACGTAACTTTAAAAATTTGCTTATATCCACATTTTTTCTAATAACTAACTCGGATTTTATCATAGAGTATCGTGACCACATTGTAGAAGATTTCCATTTATTTTCATTTTCCATTATATTAAAATATGCCAGTAAAACGTCTTCGGTAACTTGCCGTACTCCTCTTGTATCGCACCACTCTTGGAAGTGCTTGTACGCTAACCGATACTTTATTCCGGACTTGGAGGGCCCCAAACGTGCTACTGCATCATTAGCCGCGGACTCAATTTCGTTTAGGTTTTCCATTTTCGCACTAAATTTGCGCTTGCGGTTGCAACAACAATAAGCTGTCTTTAATAATTGCAAACAACTGTCAAACAACTGTAACCAGGGAGACGCAAATCCCACCGACGACTTAATTATTTTAATTTCTAACATCTAGACGACTTTGATAGTTGTCACAGTTAATTTCGAGTAAAAATAGCGTATGAATTGTACTATTTATGGTTGAAAATTGCTACGTTTGAAGAAAAAATAGTATACTTTATTCGGCAAAGAAGCGACTTTTCTTGACTTGCCCTCTATTACGCGCCTCACTTCGTTCGGCGCGTAATATCGGGCGCGTCAAGAAAAGTCATGCTTCTCCGCCTCATAAAGTAATATACTATAATTTTGATTTTATTCATTAGTAATAAATATCGTCCAACAGTGTTTTATTTTAAAGGTGATTAAAAGGACCAACTAGTCAAAAATATACCCTTTTGTCTATACACCTAGTTATATTTTGAATAAAAATAAATAAATAAGTTATTATTTGTTAAATAAAGTAAAATACTCTTACTATTCTTATTGTATACTAAAATACTCGTTACCAATGTCTATAGTCCAAATGCTGCCTGATCAACGTATGTGGTTGTACAGTTCCATATCCATCCACTTCAGGCATATTCATGTCATCAATAAAATAAATCATTGTCTTACTTCCCGGGGGGCCATAATTTCTTCCCGCTTTTTTCTCCAGAGGCTTTTCTAATATTTTTTGCAGCATTTCAGATGTAGTGTAAAAGTTGAAAGGAATATTGGTAATTGCGTAGTTTTCGGAAAGTGAGGCCAATTTTTCATTGACCAAAACCGTCTTGCCACAACCTGCGTTTCCTACTAACATCACTGGTGTCCGTTTTTTGAGTAGAAGATCTAAGAAGTATCTAACTCTTATAGATTCTGCAGTGTGTACTAAAACTGCCTGCAAACAAAATAAAATACTAATAATTAAATATGCAGAAATATATGAAATTATAGAGAAGTTTAAAATGTGCTGTTGCTTTTACACAGAGCGCTTCCATCAGCTCAGCTCTAAACTATAAAATTTACTGTGACAATACTAGTACTAATTTTATTTACAAAAATAACTTTGAATACAGTAATACATTAATTTTGTATTTTTTTTTTAATGGTTTAAAAACAACATACGGCATTTCAAAATACTGTTAAGTTAAGATGTAATAAACATTTTGTTTTAAATTATTAATTATTTCGTTAAAGTTTCCTGTGTTTATAAGGTTTGTGGTTTATTTAAAACTAACTGACCCGGCGAATTTCGTACCGTTTTAGAATTAATATTTGTGTTAAATTGTTAGCTGAGTTATATTAACTTTTTTGGATTAAGATCAAATTAATTATGTTTAATAAAACTTCAAAAAGAGTTAATTCGCGTGGCAACAAAGTAACCATTTCCACAAGTACAAGTACATCCTTGTAATTGTTCCACAGTCCATGTGGATTTGATGAGAATCATGCCAAAATAATGAGCGTATCTGATTTGGCGATGTAAAAATAATTGCTTCAGCGATTTTCACGTCCCAACGATTATCGTTTTCAAGCAAATTGAGCCGTTGACATGCTGTACTAAATGATGGGAACACTACACATTTGAGAGTTCAAAGTGATTGAAATAAACCCACCAATTTTCTGCAGCTAGATGAATTACTCAGCAACTTTTTGCACCCGTCTCGGGAAAGTGTCAGGAAAGTTTGCGAATAAAATTCATGGTGGTAAAATGAAAATTATATTTTTTGCTCAAGCAAAATGCATTTCTAAAGTACATAAAAAATTTACAACTCAAATAATCTACGACAGGAATTAGTGTTATTTTGTTACTGGAGGGTTTGGGGGAATGTGATAACGACGATGGTCCTCGCGATACCTCCTGGTGTTCCAGTCGAGGGGGTTTTGACGTCGCTGAATACGGATATTATGACGGTGATGGTTCTCGAGCTACCTGGTGGAGGGTGGACCTTGTCTCTTGGAGTTTTATGTTATTTTTAATCGAAATCAGTCTAAAGTCATTACTCGGGGGTTTTTGGGGACGTTAAAAACTAATATTACGACGACGATGGTCTTCAAGGTACTTGGTGTCCAGGGTGATCTCGTCTTCTAGAGTTTCATGTTATTAAAATTTTAAACAACAAACTAATTACAATTGAGGCGGTCGACGTGAGAAGGGCACATAGACGTATGTGCCCTTTTTACGCAGAATGGCTATTTAGGTTTGCCATGTTTTCCCCTTTACAATGGTATAACTTTCATGTATTTATCTAGAGAGCTATTTATCGCTTCTCATTTGTTTCGGTCACGTGTCTTATTAATGTCGTATAATATTAATATATTGTAGTGAGTTAAAGTATCGGTGTTGTTATTCTGATAAGATTTATTTTATTATATTATTATTATATCAAGTTTTATTCTTATAAGAACCATGATACGTAATGAAAAATATAGTAATTACGAAGATGTTCAAGAAGTAAACAGTTCTGATGGAGAGAGAAAAAGAAAAGTGATCTATACACAGAAAAATAAGAAACAAGTAACCAATAAATTAAGGCGTGCTATATAAATGCCACAAAAATCTGGCTTTTGATTTTGAAGTAGAACTTTTTGATTACTTCTATGACTGCCAGAACAAAAGTCTTCAGGATAGCCAGTTATCCAGCTATATGGACCTGGGTAAAGATCCAAAAACTAGAAGGAAACCTCTTAGCCCAAAAAAAAACCAAGAAATCATACCTATCGTTTGTCTTTAAGAGGAAACACTGTTTCAGTTTGTCACAAGCTTATTTTGGACTTGTTTTAAATTTCGCATACGTATTATTCAAAAAAAGATCTTGTTAGGTGATTCATTTAAAGAAAAAAGAGGAACACATTCTAATAGGCTCAGAAACATTTCAGATGACGTTGTTGTGTTAATGGGGGAGCAATTGGCTAGTATATCCGATGAAAGTCAATAATGTAAAAACAAGAGTAATTTGCTATATTTTGACAACACTTTATTAAATATAAAATCTCTTTCTTCTCTCTCTCTACAATATAAAAAGAAAAAAGAAAACTCTCAAGATGTCGTATAAAACATATTATCAGTATTGTTCTGAAGCTATTTTCTTGTGACATTTTAAAGTAATTACAATTTAAATGGGAATAAGCCACAATTAAGTGGAAATTGAAACGTCAATAAACGTATTTTAACCTTTAATTGTGGCTTATTCCCATTTAAATTGTAATTATGTTTGTATTTTGAGAATGATATTATCAGTACTTTAAAACTCAGTTTTCCTATTCTGTTCGCAAATCTAAAACAGATGTATGCGATTATTGCCAAGGATGTAAGATCAAGCTAAATGTCAATGATAAAGACCCACGTTTCCCTTTTTTTGAAATCCAGAAAAGGAGAGCAAATAAAAGCAAAGAAATGCGTGATATGTATATTGCTAAATCCAAAGAAGAAAATCCCTTGCACCTAGTTTTGGAGTTAGACTATTCTCAAAATTTTCAGTTAGCTAAATCTCAATACCCAATTTTAGAAAAGAATGTTTTGGTTGTACTGTTTTAACATCCATGTATTTAACAACAGTGGAAAGAAAAATCCTAACTCTGCGGTATCTTTTTTAGTTGATTGTATTAAATTTCTGTTCTGTCCTCCTGCGGCATCAGATAACAACACAATAGTTTTAATGGTAGAAAATTTACTTATCTGTATTTTAAGTGTTACAAGATTTTCATCGTGGTTTGCAAGAGTATTCCAAGTAACTGCCATACAACTGTTTTCGGTTATAGGCCACAACTTTTCCCGATGTGACAGAAATTTTGGTGTGATCAACAAGGCTATTAACAAAGCTGAAGTAATAGCCTAATATACTAAGCCATACCTTAATGCTATGGTAACATGCATAAACAATCCTTCGCCATTTAAAGTAAAAATGAACAGTGACCTTCTTCAGGGCTCTTTCGTTAAACCTTTTTTCTTGCCTAAACCTGTGTCTAGAAACAAAGTTCCCTTTAAAATTATGAAGTACGTTATTATAAAATATGATCGTAGCGGTGGCATTTTATTTTCCAAAGTTATACAGAAAACTTTGAACTGTATATATTTTGGAAACAAGGAGTACAACAGTTTCAGACTGTCACGACAACTAAATGCCTCAGACCAGAGGTAAACCAGAAGAAAGTTGAAAATATTACAAACCTTTTCAGATTCCTAAATGAAGATGATGTAAATTTCATTAAATATGAAATGTATAAACATTGGATGTAAATACTGGATAGTTTATTAATGTATTAAAAATGTATTATGTAATGTATTAAAAAAGTATTTAATTCTATAATACTTCTTTTTCTTCACATGCAAAATTAATTCCAATCAAAAATCTCCTGTTCTATCTAAACAGAGCACATAATAGCTTTTTGTATTTTCTTATTTTTAAACATAAGCTTTATTTTTATCGATGTCATACTTAGCAAATTGTTTTCTAGATAAATATTTTTAATGTGTAGTAAGGATTCTCAATTTTTAAACAAGAAATTAATATCTATAGCAACAAGCTAAATTTCAAAGTTGCTTTTTTCAAAACCCACTTTGTCGTATGTGCCATTCTCACGTAGATCGCCTCAAGTAACAAATTAGTATTATGACGAGGATAGCTGTCATCATACTCGTGTTCATCGACCTTGAAAACCCCCGATTAATAACTTTTTACTGAAACTAAGATAAAACTTTAGAAGAGGTGGTTCACCCTGGGCACCAGGTAGGTCGAGAATAATCGCTATCATAATATTCGTGTTCAGCGACCTCTAAAACTCCTCAAGCAATAGCTTTCGACCGATTTGGAATGAAAATAACATAAAACTAAAGGGGTAGAGGTCAACCCCGGGCATCAAGTAGCTCGAGGACCATCGTCATTATCATATTTGTATTCAGCGACCTCAAAAACCCACGAGTTATGACCGTCGACTGATTTAGAATTAAATAAACATACTACAGAAAAGAGTACCACCCTGGGCACCAGGTAGCTCGAGCACTATCGTCGTTATCTTATTCGTATTCAGCGACTAACAAAATTAAACTCATTTCTATTTATATTTTCTTAGTTGCAAATTTTTCATTTTCTGTACACTTTGGGAACACATTTTTCTTATGCCCAAACTACAATTTTCATTTTACCGTCATGAATTTTGTTCAAAAACTTTCCAGACAGTTACCCTAATCAAATGCAAAAAGTTGCACAACGATTCATCTTGCTGCAGAAAATTGGTAGGTTTAGTCCTTCGTTTCCTCGCTTATTCGTCTTGCTTAACACGTTGAAGTTTCTTTGATATTGAGTTTTTCCACTGTTACCAACTCGTAAACAATATACTTTAGATCAAGATTAATTATTTTCGTAAACTGTTACGATATTTTAACAGTGAACCTGTTATTCGGCGCTGACAAATCCAGAAATCCAAATATCAATAAAATCGGTACAGCGGTTCTTGAACTATAAATGGTGTAACTAATACAATTTATGATTTCGCTTGATATATACATACAGGGTGTCCCAGACTAATTTACCCACGCTATATCTCTTAAACGAATAGAGATTTTCGAATGGGACAAAAAGTGATCTATTCTACTTGTCAAACACTTTAATATGGCGTAGAAAAAAATCATCCCCTAAATATTCATCCCTTAGTTACAACCCCTAACTTTAATTTTTTTAATAGCACCCTGTATATTTTTTTATAGTTTTGGATGTGGTCTTCTATCGTCTATTCAACAGATTTATTAAAAATAAAATCGGTTTGTAAATAATCAAGAAATCAATTAATTTTTTATTTTTGTTAATTAAGTGTCCCAGACTAATTCATCCAGGCTATATTTATTAACAAAATAGAGATTTTTTAAAGGGTCAAAAACTGTCTATTCCATTTGTAATCCACTTTAATATAGCGAAGAAAAAATCATCCCCTAAATATTTATCCCTTAGTTTTATTGCTCCTTTAAGTTTTATTGTTCTTAAGGCTGTATTTTATTTGTACGAGTAGTATGTTCAATGTGCAATTTATTTAAAGTTTGCAAAATTGTTTTTGTTTTCTTTTATTCTTTTATTTTGTAATATTGACGATTTATCTAATGTCAGTGACAATAAAGCATATTTCTTTTCTATTCTATTTTTTAAAGGCTATCTTGATTAATTTAACAAAAATAAAAAATAAATTGATATTTTCTTGATACCTTACAAACCCATTTTATGTAAAAAAAATCGGTTAAATAGACGATAGAAGACCACATCCAAAACTAAAAAAAAATGTACAGGATGCTATTAAAAAAATTTAGTTAGGGGTTGTAACTAAGGGATGAATATTTAGGGGATGATTTTTTCTTCGCTATATTAAAGTGTATTACAAATGGAATAGAAAAGTTTTTGACCCTTTAAAAATCTCTATTTTGTTAATAAATATAGCCTTGATAAATTAGTCCGGGACACTTAATTAACAAAAATAAAAAATTAATTGATTTCTTGATTATTTACAAACCGATTTTATTTTTAATAAATCTGTTGAATAGACGATAGAAGACCACATCCAAAACTATAAAAAAATATACAGAGTGCTATTAAAAAAATTAAAGTTAGGGGTTGTAACTAAGGGATGAATATTTAGGGGATGATTTTTTTCTACGGCATATTAAAGTGTTTTAGAAGTAGAATAGATCACTTTTTGTCCCATTCGAAAATCTCTATTCGTTTAAGAGATATAGCCTGGGTAAATTAGTCTGGGACACCCTGTATATAGATTTTTTCAAAATATGCAAAATATACATAGTAATAAAAGTTAATTCTAATTTAATATGTTATTTTTAGTTACCTGTAATGGTACATCTGGATCTAATTCAAATCTGCCCAGACTTTCTGTCCATGGAACAAATTGTTTAGTTTCGTGGTCTATAAAATAGTCAAAAATAGTTCCACCTGGAGGAAATTTTACAGTTTTAAATTCGTTGCCCCACCATTTAGTAAACTCCACTCTATAATCGGTTGCCTAAAATGTTTGGTTAAACAAAATTCATTAAAAACGTTAATTTATACAAACTTAATTAATAAATTAGCAATACAGGGTTCTATATTGTCCTGATGCATCAGGACAATATAGGATAAGAACTAATAAAGAGCTTGAAGAACTTTACCCAGGCGCCAACATCATGAAAGAAATAAAGTCCAGAAGACTCCAATAGGCAGGACACCTCAGAAGACATTCTGACGAACGAACAGTAAGACTGGTGTGGGAGGAAGTCCCAACTGGAAGGAGACCACGCGGACGCCCTCGTCTCCGGTGGTGAGATAATATAGCAGGAGACGTAAGCACTATGGGCGTGGAGAATTGGATGAAGGTTGCTCAAGACAGAAAACAGTGGAGGCATGTTGTCGAGTCGGCTAAAACCCACGAAGGGTTGTAACGCCACGGAGTAAGTAAGTAAGTAAGTAAGTAAGCAATACAGGGTTGGCCACCCAAAAGAGTCTATTCTGTTATTTGTCAACCCTCTTCCTTCCAATACCACAAACTTTTAATTTTGAATAGATTACATTATCAGACAGTTATTTTGCTGGGGGGGGGGGGATTCAGGTATCCATGATTTTTTTCCGTATTAACTCTATTCTTGTAAAAAAGTATCAATTTATTGAAAGTGCCTCTTAAAAATTAAACGTAACGCCCATGGACGTATAAACACAGATGGACTCAGTTATTTACATAAAATTGTGTAGTCAAAATTATTTGAATAGGTCACATTCTCAGCACCTTCAACTGTTGTCACGTTTTGTTTTAAAATTTCTTATTCGCGAGTCGCTGAAAATATTACTCCGTATTTTATACTCTACAGGTGCTATCAAACCAAAATAATAATTTATTGGTTAGATTAATATATTTAATTGTAATCAAAATATAAAGTGTGCACATAGTGTGCATTATCATTTAATAATAGCGTATAATAGATATCAATCAATTATTTTATATGTAGAAGCACTGAAAACTATTTATAAATGGCAACGGTTGTTTACATTTCTCTGTCTTATGGATCTACGTCAAACTTCAAATGCTGTTCTATGTTTGTTTACTTTTTACAGTAGATGAGGGAAAAGTTGTTTTTCGATATTTTGGCTGTATTTTGAGTGATATTTGTGACAAGTGAAATAAAATAAACGAAATATTTACATCCCGATCTCTCATTTCATTTGTAAGTACATACAATTTACATTATTTAAGATGAGGAAATGAGGAAGCGTGTTTGTTTACATTTTAATAGGCGTACCATTGGGTTTATTCATGTTCATTAATGTATTGAATAAGATATAAGTTCATGAAATTACTAGCCATTTTTAAATTGTAAGTAGACATCATCTGATTAAAAAAGATCTGTTTAGTACCTTTTTAATTTAATATTTCTCATGGATGCAAATAAATTAGTGAAATGAATAAAACTCATTTATTTTTCTATGTAGGTTTCCAAATAATATTGACGATCGAACTATTTTGGTAGCAAATTTAGGAGAAAGCATAAAGATTTTTTATTGTAGCATTATTTTGATACCTATTAAAAATTAACTTGAATTCAATTATATTTTATTGTATTAATTTTAAAGCAAATAAAATTGTATTTTAATTTTTCTATAAAGACGTGATTTGTTAATAGTTAAACTCTCGTTTTTTTTAAATTCTTTGAACGTGTTTTTATACATTATTACTACTTCCAATTTTTAAAATCTGAATAATTACCCGCGAGTAACAATTCAAGCACGATTATGCTCATTGCGGAAGCATCACATTCTATCGAAGCTTCAAAACATTGTGTGTTACAGGTATCTTATTGCTGTGTCCATCTATGTTTATACGTCCATGGTAACGCCTATGTTTAGCTAGTGTAAAACGAAATTTGCAACATTAATAGAAAACTTTAATAAATGTCATATAAAATATTACGGAGGATACTGGACCCAATTAGTGAAGATAGCAACTTACTGTCAAATTAGATATCATAAAGAAACATACGAACAATATGGAGAATTAATGCTAGCACAAGGACAAGTGGTCTGGATGCATATGAGAACAGAACCCTAGAAAGTTACTAAATGCAAAAATGCAAGAAAAATACCTATTGGAAGACTAAAAAGGTCAAGATATAGGAGGACGAAGTAGACGAGAATAAAAACTTCCTAGAAACACGTTCATGGAACGGACCAAGAGTAGGTCGAGTTTTGGAGAAGTTTACTAAACGAGGCCAATGCTCTACGTAAGCTGTAGTGTCATTAGATGGATGGCAATTATTATTTTTTTAATACATTTTTGTATGTGATAATTTAATTGTTAGTGCTCAAAGAATGAATTTTATTGAAGTTTAATTTTTAATACTACCTGTTCCTGAAACATTGCTGATCCGAACGCCCAAACGCAACAGAATACAAAATATAATTCATACCATTCTTTTGGACAATCTACAGGTGTATTTTGTGGTGTTAAAATACAGTCTAAAAGATGACATAACATTGCAAGATGAGATGTTTCAACTATCGGCGTAATTTTCTTAAATCTCGTTCTAACATTCTCCAAACAAGCCGGAATATATTTATCAAAAAGCATTATTAAGTTTGACTTCTCTGCAACGATTTCTCTGGTTTCTATCCAGCTGGTCACATACCTAAAAGTAATTAATTTAAGGTAATTTTCAGCAACAATTTTACTTCCTGCTAAAAGTTTTGTTTTTTTTAAACCTCTTAAAATGAAATAAAATTTTTTTTCTATCTTTGTGTTATTCACAACTTGCTTTATATTTTAGTCAATTTTATGTAAATCTCTGTTACTCTTATCGTCAGAGACGAACATTCCACTGAATCTCTAAAAATCATACAATCAAGCTCAATTTTTCGGAGAATGTCAGTTTTGGGAGCCTCAAAATACGTAAAAAACTTTGCCACTCCTACCCCTAGGCTTTCCTCCTAGCAAGGAGAACGGAAACGTCATTTACCAAGAATCTGTATGCCGTAGAGAAAGTTTAAACGAATGTAGCTGAATAGTTTTAAACAAAATTTTCATTATCACTTTTTTCTGAATGACCGTTCTCTCAGAAACAACGCTTGAAGAGATCGGCGATTTTGAATGTCAGCTACGCGCGAAATCAATTTTTTAAATAATATTTGTATCAACTCGACGGTAAAAATTAGATATCTTTTGATGAGTGTCCTATCGACAAAAAATCAATTTAACTTCGTAAGCAATTTTTGCTTTTTGCAGCAAATGATGTCGGTTTCTATAAAGCTGTTAAATAAATAAACGTTGCGCGATTTTTACCATTTTTACGATTCTCATGAGTTCAATAGAAGTAAGTCATCGCTTTCATGGACTTTTATGTTATTGACCGATCACAATAGAATTTCCATTGTTAGAGCCTAATCTTTAACCGTTTTAGTACCGCTTTTTTTCAGCAATCGAAGAAATATTTTTTGACTAAAATGTACTTAAAACAGTTCATGTAACACTTTTTGGAGATAAAAAAATATAACATGTATTATAAAAAAAATTATTATTGGTTCATTTGTACCCAAAAGTACTTAACAAATCTAAAAAACTAGCGCATATGAAACATAAGAAAGCAATTTCTTTCCTTTTGAAGACACAAATGACCATTGCACTTCTGACAGTTCCATCTTGATTTTCCTGTACAACCAGGGTTTTTGCATCTTGAAGGTAAAAGTATCTATGGGTGCTCTGGAAAATGTCCATATTATTAAATTGCACCCAATAAGAGGTCTAATTTCAATGTTTTGGCGTTTTGCGCTACTACTGGACTGGATGTATCGCTTCCCGTTTTCGGTTATTAAAGAGTTGACTTTTATGAGGGCTTCACCAACTTTTATCCTAAAGTGTAGAAGGTCCATGATATATTTTTGTGGAATTCCCAAAGTATGCTTGTCTCGTTTATACTCTAACCAAGAGTTTGTTAGGACCATGTCAACTGCATGAAAGATTAGTCAAACGGTCCACTTTCTGCAACGATTTTTTGTTCTGTAAAACGCAATAAGAGCATCTGTTTTATCTATGCCACCCATGGACTTATTATACTTTTGTATAACTTCGGGTCGACTTACGTCAATGAAACATTTTGGTTTTTTATTTCAATGTTTTACAACATCTTCTGTACCAACCTCAACGAAGTTAGATATCATTATCACTGACTTGTAATTTAACCATCTGGTTACTATAATTCCACCAGAAGAGATAATTTGTTCCGTTGTCTCCACTCTCGTTTTTTGAAAAATCTTTTACATCGGTCAGAAGTGGTTAGAAAAAATATTAATCCTTGCAGTGCCAGCAACAAGTATTGATTTTTAGTTGAGAATTTGTAAAAGGTTATAGCTCGTAAAATAATTTTCACAGTACAATGCATGCTTATTAGGTTCAAGTACTTTTTATAATTGCAATACGATAGCTGCACCCTATCCATATTTCAAATAAGAAGGTTCTATTTCTGTGGTACTACCTTGATAGATTAGAAAATTGTAAATCAATCCACTTTCACCACCTAATAAATACAGTGTTACTCCCATGGATTGGGTTTGTTTTTGATGTATTGCTTTATAGACAATATCCCTTTGAAGGCATGATTTGTTCGTCTATGCAAACATTTGTTTCTATCTGCAGTTCTCTACATCTCGTTAGGACTGATTCAACAACTGGTCGAACTCTCCATAGTTTGTCGTTGCTTTGTCTGGGTTCCAGATTGTCAACACAATGTAAGTGAGTGCGAAGTTTGAAAAAACGATTCAACGTCATAAGAAAAATATCAATTTTTAAAGATTTGTCCTTGAACATATTCTCAGCCTTGGAAATTTTAGACACCCTGTTAGAGTACCAAAGCCAAAAAAGATTTTATTTCTTGCAGGTTAGATAGCACAAATTTCCCAATTCAAACGTTTGCAAAGCATACGTTTTGATTTTCTGAGATCATCTGTCATCTATCATATGGCCAATTCTTTGTCTTGTATTTCTTCTTCGCAGTCACTGTCATCACTAACACATCCTTCTATGTCGGACAGTTTTTCTAGTACTTCTAGTAGTTCCTTCTCCGTTAAATATTATTTTTATTGGAAGCATTTTACTCTGAAAATAAAAATAACACTTAGTTATTTTGGATACAGTTGTGCCTATCGAATTTGAGGTACAATTCTATATTTGAAAAATAGTCCAGTTACTGAGGGTTTTTACCTCCGAATTCTTTAAAACTGAATCGATTCATTTGAAATTTTGTGTGTTGGTAAATAATTACTCAAGGAACAAAATTTATATAGTGCCGATGTGCGCTTCCACCCTGGGGGTGTTTGCCACCCCTTTTCGAGGGTGGAAATTTTTTCACTCAAAATAACCACGCTATTCGATAGAAGGACAAATTTCAAACAAAAAATGTAGTAAACATTTTTTTCGCTAGATCAATACTTTTTGAGTTATTCGCTGTTGAAAAGTGTCATTTTTCGTTAAAAAAAACATGTTTTTCAAAGGTTTTTTAAGAATAGCTCTGAAACTAAGAGTTTTATCAAAAAAAGTGTAACAACTAAAATTAAAGCTCATAAAAAAACAAAAAGATTGGCTTTTTAATGAATATTTTCAGTTCAATATTAACTGAGTTATGGCTGTTCAAAGAAGGTTTGTTTTTGTTTTTGTCTTTCAATACGAGTATTTAACGTTAAATAACGGAAAACGGGTACATTTTTCGACAAAAACTCATATAATATTTTTAAAAGAGCTTGAAAAGACCTTTAAAATGAGTGGTGGTAAAAGTCCTTTGCACCAACTGTACGTGAGATACGATCAAAAAAAACGATGGGTTTCTCAGGACACAGAAAGGTGAAAAAAATCAACGATTACAGAAAAAAAACTCTTTCAAGTGATGGGCGTAAAAAGTTTGGTTATAATAGAACGTTAAACCGCATAATCCGATATTTCAAAAGAACTTTCAAAAAAATTAAAAAAGTAAAACCATCAGTTTAAAGGCAACATAATTTTGAAAAGTGTCCAAATTTCGAGATATTTTGTCGGTAAATAACAGAGAAAACACAGTCTCTAGGTTTTGGTGTACCGATAAAACAGCGTTAAGTATTTTATTTTTATCAAAAAAGGTTGAAAAAAGTAGGCTCATTTTATAAGTAAAAAATTAATTTTTGTCTACAAACAATGCACTCTAAAAATGTTTAACCCATTATCTCCCACTGGACCCATTTAGGGACAGCAAACAAAATTTCACTGTAGCGCCTTCTATTGACAAATAGCAAGAGTTCACTACGACAGAGTGTTAGTTTACATTGTTTTCTTCTTAACTTATAGCGCTGATGTTTCTCAGTTCGACCAACGCAGCAGCAGGTACAACTTTGTAAGCAAGGTCACGCCTTTGTCTGCAAGAGCGATACATGCTTTTACTAAAAGACGAGTAAAATTAAAATTTCATTTGTTAGCAGTGTTTATTATAACCAAACGTGTAGTTGTGAGTGTAAGTTATTGTGTTTTCAACAAATTTTATCGAGTTTTCTGAAATTGTAGATAACATAAGTTAGGTAAGTTAGGTATCCTCGTATGGGGACACTGGGCGGAAGCCGTATATATAAAATACATGTGAATATTTTTACAATACCATTTTTTTATTTCAGTTTGTTATGGAACCAGAACATTTAGTACCGATCCCTCCGAAAAGTTTTTATGGAAGGAAGTATCGTCATTTAGATGCTGCTTTACAAGACGTTGCTACAGCAGATATTGAACATGAAGTAGACATTGTTATTATACCGCCCGATGCTGACCCACAGACCGATGAAGAGGACTTGGACGAAAATGATTTAGAAGGTGTCGAAAATATATTTCCTACAGACGTAGCTGGTGAAATCGAGTTACAGCATATAAACAGCAGTGATGAAGAAGAAAGTGAGGACGAAGACAGCTTGCCACTGTCTGAAAGGTTAAACAACTTGAAATCAAAACGGACCAAAAAAATAAAGATAAGTCAAAAATGGACTAAGAATTTTGTTGATACTAGTATGCCAGCAACTTCCGGTTGGGCTGACCGTTGTGAAATTCTAAAAAATGAACTGGAAAACTGTAGTCCAGTTGAAATATTTGAAAAGTTGTTTGATGACGAAATTTTTGACTATTTAATGCATCAAACAAATTTATATTCATCACAAAAAAATAGACACGACTTCTTTGTTTCAAAAGCTGATCTCAAACTTTTTGTGGCAATTTTACTCCTAACAGGCTATCATAAACTACCAAGCGAACGTAATTATTGGAGTCTTGATGAAGATCTTGGAGTGCCTGTGGTCGCAAAAACTATGTCAAGGAACCGATTCCAGGAAATCAAAAGGTATATTCACTTAGTAGATAACGATTATCTACATACCAACGACAAAATGGCTAAATTGCGGCCTCTAATGTCACGTTTAAATCAAAGATTTCAACAGTGGGGCGTTTTACATGAAAACCTGTCAATCGACGAAGCCATGGTAAAGTTTTATGGTCGGCATTCTAGTAAACAATATATAAAGGGAAAACCAGTACGCTTTGGTTATAAGAACTGGATGCTGTGCAGTTCCACAGGATATTGTTATGCCTTTGACACTTATTGTGGTGCTAAAGGAAATCCTCAAGTTTACGATTTACCCTTAGGATCTCGGGTAGTTCTTGATCTTCTCAAAATTGTTGCTGTGCCCTCTGATCATGTAATTTTTTTTGACAATTATTTTAGTAGTCATGGTTTACTAAAAATGCTGAGACATCAAGGTTATCGTGCCACTGGTACGATAAGAGAAAATCGAACTAAAAAATGTCCGATGACAAAAGTAAAACTATTCAAAAAGAAAGAGAGAGGTTCTTTTGAACACTATTATGATAGTGAGTCAGCGCTTCTTTTTATTAGGTGGCAAGACAATAACACTGTCTCAATTGTTACCAACTATGACAAACTGCATCCTATTAGTACGGTCAAGCGCTGGTCATCAGTAGCCAAACAGAAAGTAGATGTGCAACAGCCACACATTTTCAGTATGTATAATAAATGCATGGGTGGAGTTGATTTACACGACCAGGCAGTAAGCAACTACAGGATTTCTGTTAGAGGTAAAAAATGGTGGTGGGTGCTGTTTACAAACATGATCAACATGACTGTTGTCAATGCCTGGAGACTGTTTCAATTAGCAAATGATGATCCAATCTCATTGTTAGAGTTTGAACGAATTATAGTGCGCTCTTATTTAGCTTGCAATGAAAAATCGACAAAACCTAAAAACCGACCTGCTGCGCAATTACCACCAACTGTACGACATCATGAGGGAGGTCATTTTCCAAAAAAATTAGATCAACAGCGGCGGTGTACCCAGTGTCACAAAAAAGCTAGGTGGAGTTGCTCAAAATGCACAGTGGCCCTTTGCATTGAACGAGACTGTTTTAGAGATTATCATTCCTAAGATGTTTATTGAAGAAATCTTTGTTGTTTATTTTGCTGTAGATACTGATTGATTTTTATTTAGTTTTAACCATTATTGTATTTTATTTTGAACTTAAAAAAAAAAATAACATGTTATGTAAAACTTTCATTTTTTGTAACACTTTATCCCATTGTCCCCATTTGGGGACATATATATATGTTGTATACCGTAAGTAATTAAGTATGACTTACATTTAATTTTTTGCTTATAATAATACCCCTAATAAGATTCAGTAAAATTTTTTTTATTTTTTTCAAAAAAATGTCTTGGGTTTTAATGGGTTAAAATCGTTAAAAATATTTTTTAATTCATTTTTGACAAAGGGGGTGGTTGTGAGGGTTGAAATGTTGAAATTATAATAAAATGTTATTTTATAAGCAAGAAATTAATTTTTGTTTAATAAAATGCACTCAAGAAATGTTTCAGACCAATAAAAATATATTAAATTAATTTTTTAAAAAGGGGTTGGTTGTGAGGGTTGAAATGTTGAAATTATAATAAAAAGTTATTTTATATGCAAAAAATTAATTTTCGTTAAATAAAATGCACTCAAGAAATGTTTCAAACCGATAAAAATATTTTTTAATTCATTTTTAATTCATTTTTGTCATAAGGGTGGTTGTAAGGGTTGAAAATTTCCAATAAATAAAATATTATTGTATAGCTAGGGTATTAATTTTTATTTGTATTTAAATACATAATTGAAATGTCTCAAGCTGCTACGACTTTTTTTTTCATATTATTTTTATAAAAAGTATTAGCTTTTAAGGGTTTTTAAAGGGTTTTAAGGGTTGAAAATTGTGAATAATTAATTTTCATATTAGAGAACACATTACAATATTTACCTTATGCGAATAAACAAGATTTAAGTGCATAAAATAATTAAATCCGTGTTTTTCCCAGTTTCTTCAATAAGGGGTAGTTTTCACCCCTTAAAAACAAAAAGCGCACCTAGAGCGTATATAACTTTTGAAGTGGAGGGTAAGATAAGCTTAATTTGAAATTTTCAAAGAAATCGATGCAGTTATAAAAAATTCGGAGGTATTACCATATTTTAAGCCTCAGTAACTGGAGTAAAAGTCAAATTTCAACAAAATATATTTATAATTAGGAAGAAGTCTAATTTCAACATTGAACTGAAATATAAACCGCGATTGACTTTTATTCAAACTGATATTTAAAGAAACAAGTACACTTACCTCTTACGAAACAATGCAATTACCGCTTTTGAATATACTTGCTTTTGACATTAATTTTCTTTTAGAATAATCATCCCTTCGCCATCTGGGTACAAGACGCAGAAGTATAATACTTAAAGAATGTAAATTTGTTCATGTAGAATTATATATGCATTCAAGTGAATGGGTAAAATTACCCAACATGATTGAAAGCAGTAAATTGCGATTTTGAGTTTTTAGCCCATAAAACGAAGGTTTTTCCTCGCAATTTTTTCAGAAAAGTATGGTTATTGAAATTTGAAAATAGTAAATAGTACAAGAATCAAAAATGCATATGATGCCAAAAGGCGCCTTACCTTTTTATTTTTTTTATTACATTTTGACCGCAAAAATTGGTGAAAAAAATTAATTCTAAGCAAAAAATGTTCTATATATTTTTTTGATAAAATTAATAGTTTTCGTTTTATTCGTTATCGAAAGTGTTAGTTTCATATCGAAAAAATCAATATTTTTAATCAGGTTTCTACGAATAACTCAAAAAATTATTCGTTTTATCAAAAAACCTGTAACTAACAAAAATGTACCTTTTGAGAAAATAAACAAAATGGTTTATTTTTAATTTTCTTTAAGACTAATCTTAACCGGCAAATGCCATTTTCTTAAAATAGAATATCACTGATCATGTTACTTATAAATGTTTAGTTTTTTGTTTTCCAAGAATTTAATTTGCGAAAAATTTATCTACGACAAAAGTTGAGTAAGATATTGACAATTAAATATTGTACTAATATGTAAAAACTAACTATAGCAACACTTTAAAGTACGCCTTTTGAAAATGAAGGTTTTAAAACGATTTAATATTAATAACTTGTATCTATTGACATAACCTACTTTTTTACAGAGCTTTCAGAACTACAGAAAAAAACAATAATTTTTTTTGGAAAAAATGGAGAAATCCAATTGGAAGCAGAGTAATGAGTAAGGATGAATCTACGCCCGCATCGCCAGGTGAAGTCCACAAATAATTTTTGTTAAAATTATAAAACAATAGAAAATTATCTTGTGTACTTTCTTGTAAGTTACCTGTACATAAATAAACTACTTACTTATCATAATTTAGGTCGTTAATAAATGGGAAATTAAAAAAAAATCTGAAAAACATGTTTGTAAAAGATTATATATTTATTCATTAATATAATATATTTTAGGTGAAAATAATAATATAAAATATTTTAAGTATATCATGTATTGTAAATTAACGGTTTTCTGTGACTAATCCAGCTGGCCCTGTGGCAAGTCCTCCTTGTCCTTCTGGTATAATTCTTAAAGGAATAAAGCCTAGTTCTTGCTTAGGAATTCCATATTGCTGTAGTTTCTCTTCAAATGTTTCAAGAAGATCGTCGTGAGCTTTACAAACTCTAGCTAACTCGTATTGTAAATCGCTTATTGTGGCATTCTTTTTCGCTAAAATTTCTTCTAGCTTTTGGTTTGTTCGTTGAGGAGGAGTTTTTGTTGCGGCTTGTAGTTCGGCTATTACAATTTCTCGATGTTCTGCTACCTGAGTCAGAGTGTGAATACGTTTGTTTAAGAGCAAATTTTTAACACCTGGAAAGCAAAATAATAAACCATTATTATAGTTACAAAATTAAATCTAGTAATATACACTGTGTCCGTAAAGTATGGAACAAATTCTTTTTTAGCTAAACAGAGCATTTTAAGAAATAATCCTGAAACACGTCGATTTTTGATTTTAATTTACCGTATTTTAAAATAATATTCTAATATACAGGGTGAATTACTTTCGAGTAATGACGTCACCGTCATTTTTTTTTAAATGGAACACCCCCATTTTGTCTCAATTTTCGGATTACTCTAGCTGAGCTGATTCCAAAAATGTATCACATGTTGATTCAAATTGGTACAGGGTGGACAAAAATACAATAGTTTTGTGTGTGTTCATAAAGTAACGCGTTAGTTAAATTAACAATATTATCAAAAATACTTATTGTCTAGCGGACAGAATATGATGAAATACATGACTTTATAAATGTTCGAACTGCAGCCCTTGCTGTATTTGACAGTAACCCAAACGTTGTACAAATTCTTGTTGAACCTTGTTTATTGTGTCTTGAGAAATATTGTTTATTGCTGTCCGAATTCTCTGTTGTAATTCTTGAATATTTGCTGGTTTCGTTTGATACACAACATTCTTCAGATGGCCCCACATAAAATAATCCAAAGGATTGAAATCTGGTGACCTCGCTGGCCATTCAATAGGTCCACGTCTACCAATCCACCTGTTCGGAAAAATTTCATCTAGGTACCTTCTAACATCTACAGCATAATGTGGAGGTGCACCATCCTGTTGCAACCATAAACTTTCATCAAAACCTCCAGGATTACGTCTGCTGGGAAACAAATTACGTAAAGTAGGTACGAGATACCCCTTAAAAACTCAAGGTACGTTGCCCCGTTTAAATTACCTTCGATAAAGTAGGGTTCGATGATTCGATTTCTTACAATTGCAGCCCATATATCACGCATCCAGTGGGGGTTTTCTTTTGCCCAGTATCTACAATTCTGACGGTTAACCTCGCCATTTAACGTGAAAGTGGCCTCATCAGAAAAAGTAATGTTTTGGTACCAAGAGAGGGTCTCGGTGGTCGTTATCCATCATTGCTTCGCAAAATCGCATTCTTCTATCGGGATCATCTTTATTTAATTCCTGCAAAAGTTTGATTTTATAAGGATGCCATAACCCCCTCTGTGGCTCAGTGGTAAGAGCGCCTGCCTTTAAACCTAAAGGTCGTGAGTTCGAATCCCACCTGGGTGGAAATTTTCGTTTATTAAAGAAAAATAATAAATGAAAATAATTTCTATCCTTGTGTGATCGGTACACACCGGAGGGACCGCAGACGTTCGGATACAATTAGCGTCTCTTAGCAAAGACAATGACGTCGACTTTGCTAAGTATCAAGACAATTACTCTACACACACACACACACACACACACACACACACACACACACACACACACACACACACACACACACACTACACCTCAAATTGTAAGATTGGCGAATGGATTTAGTGTCCGCAGTCATTTAAACACAAACAAACAACAAAAAATAAGGATGCCATTTTTCAAGCTTTAATAGTTTGTGTACCGTTGTTTTGCTAACACCGATATCGCGACTAACTTTACGCACAGAAGTGTGCGCATCTTCTTCAAAACTAAGTAAAACATCTAATGCTGTATCAGCATTTGCAGAGGGACGACCTGATTTCCGTGCATTTTCAACCGTACCAGTTTCTCGAAATTTCTTTTCAATCTTACTGACTGTTGAACGCGTTATAGGTCTTTCTGGATATTTATCATTAAACAAATTGCACACTTCCATCTGAGTTCGCGATCTGTCTCCATACCCAATCATCATAAGTATTTCAATTCTTTGCTTTACACTTAACTCCATTTCTACTTCAAATTAAATCTAAGCAATAATTAAAACATTCACAAATACCAAAAATATTGTAGTACTAAACTGTCACTGAACATCAATAAATTACTAAACAAATAATGACATTTAACAAAAACATAGCCTACTATGTTTCTTTTAAATTGATAAGAAATAATTTCTTTCATATTCTGTCCGCTAGACAATAAGTATTTTTGATATTGTTAATTTAACTAACGCGTTACTTTATGAGCACACACAAAAACTATTGTATTTTTGTCCACCCTGTACCAATTTGAATCAACATGTGATACATTTTTGGAATCAGCTCAGCTAGAGTAATCCGAAAATTGAGACAAAATGGGGGTGTTCCATTAAAAAAAATGACGGTGACGTCATTACTCGAAAGTAATTCACCCTGTATATTAGAATATTATTTTAAAATACGGTAAATTAAAATCAAAAATCGACGTGTTTTAGGATTATTTCTTAAAATGCTCTGTTTAGCTAAAAAATAATTTGTTCCATACTTTACGGACACAATGTATATTTAATTACATAATACAGGAAAACAGATTTAGATCTACATAAAAGATATTTAAAATAAAAGAAAAGTTTTGTATACTATGGAAAGTGGTGGATTATTTCTATATATTAATGCCATAAATATACAGGGTATGGTATTTCAACTTCGAAAAACTTTTTAGACTAGCACATAGTTTCAAATCACATGTCGTATTACTTTTCGTTCATGTTTTTGATGGAAGTTTATTTCTGACAGATTACTAAGATTAGATTACGGCACTGAAAGAAATGAGAAGATAACTACGTATTATTGTAGGGTATGGATCATCCAAAAATGAAGCTAAGGAAAAGAAAGGTATGTTTTGGAACAATTTGAGGGATGGGATGGACATTCTGGACAACAAAGTCGTACTAACCGGAGATTTCAATAGAGGAGAAATTCATAAATTCTTATTTCTGTAAAATAATATCACGTAGAGATGCGTTAATACAAGTCTTCGAAGAGTTTTACGGAGTTATATGAAAGTTATATGACTAGAAGATCAAACAGGAATACAAGCAGCCACTTCAAAGAAGATCATTAACCAATGTGCCGAACTAATGTCAGAAATAAAGGTAGATGAGATTCGATAAGAAAACTGAAAAATAACAAAGCCCAAGAAGAGGATGGAATTGTAATAGAAGCTATTATAAACAGAAGAGATATAGTAAATAAATTAAGGAAACTGTTTAATCTTTGTATGCAGAAAGAGAGGTGCCAAAGAATTAAACAATACTATAATCATCCTTTTGCATAAAAAAGGAGATAGAACAGACCTAGAAGATTATAGACCTATTAGCCTATAACCACTATACAAAACACATATACAAGAACTTCACTAGGTTAGTGACATCAAGATTGGAGAAAAAAAATAGATTTCTACCAACTGAGAAAGCAGGCAGGATTCCGATCAAATTATGGTACTAATGATCACCACTATACAGTAAAAATACTCATTGAAAAATGTATAGAATACAACAAACCTCTTGTTCTCACTTTCATAGATTTTCATAAAGCGTTCGACACTATCTAAATAGGCAGCCTCATAGAAGCAGTAAATTACAGCAGGATTGACTATAGGTATAGTTAACTTATTTCCAATATTTAAAAAAATGCCACTATAAATGTTAAGATACACGATAAAACCCGACTATAAAAATAAAACGTGGTATAAGGCGAGGAGATACATTGTCACCAAAATTATTCATAACGGTATTAGAGTATGGTCAATTGGGACCACAGAGGAGTAACAATAGATGGCGAAAAACTTAACCATCTCAGTTTTGTAGATGACAGTGTCCATATCACAGATAATTTAGGAAAAGCTAAAAATGAACTTGACCAAAACTTAGTTTATAACAAATATGGTTCCCAATAACCATCTAACTATTCAAGACAAAGTGGTATAACTGTTGAAGAAGTAAACGTATTTGGGTCATGAAATAGGAATCAGCAGAGATAACCAAACATATTTTTGCAAAATTTTTTGTAATATTTTAAATTATTAAATTTTTTTTTTAATAATATTAATGAATAAATCTTTTTCGTTTAGAAGCTACTCCATTTAATTATTAGAAGTAAAGAATTTTTTAACTTATATTGTTACAAAAAAAATTAATTTGGGACAAACAAATTAAATAACTGTTAAACTATTTAACTGATAGCTTTGAAATTTTGATTATATTTGAAGCAATCCAGCATTCCATGTAATATGAAAGTTCCAATTTTATTTTTAAGTTATCAACAAAAAAAAAACCGAAATTTTTTACTTATTTTGCAACTTGCTAAGCAACAAGACGGGAACATTTAAAGAACGTCATTTTGAAGGTTTTTGTATGACATAACTTTCTTACTCTAAAATCTCAATCAAATGCTTCACTTTTTGATGATAGATGAAAAGAAGCGAAAATTTACCGTTTTTTGAATTAATTTGTTAATAACTAATCAAGTAAAAAAATCGACTGCAGGAAACGTATAAGTTCTGGTTATAGAGGTCCACACTATTCGAAACAACTATCGTTTGCCTGGCTGGATCAGTGTCACAAAAAAACAAAGCTTATTTCCGTAGGCTATTATAGATTTCTGCCTGAATAACAACCTAGTGTCTGTTTAAACACAAATACATACATAAATACTTTAGGATTATAGAGATCAGCGTGAAAAGATCTATAATCGATTTAATTCTGTTACAAAGGGTCTATCGAGATGGTACAGGATGTACGTGTCAACAGAGGATATAAAATCGGGTCTGATCAATAGTTAGTAGATGCAAAACTTAAGACAAAAAACAACACTCATTTAGGAGACCTCCAAACAGAAAATAGATATAAAGTTTCTAGTATAAAAGCGTGCAACTTGTTAAACTTGGATGTTAGGAAAAAACATGCAGATGGACTTATAGAGAAGCTAGAGCTGGAACGAACATATGGATATCGAAAGTATATGTAAACTATTGAAAAAAAAAACAGTGTACCAAGTAGCTATAGACATTTGTAGATACACCGTCACTAATAAAAAAATATACAGCATGGTGTAATAACCAAATAAAAATGGAAGTACAATTAAAGAAGAGCTTCTGAAAAACATCTGGAACAGAGAAATATTGATAATGATAAAAAGTATAAAAAGCAAAGAAGAGTAGTAAAAGAGACAATAAAAATGCTAAAATACAAAAGTGGGAATAGTTGGAGACATAAAATGGAGATCGACAGCATAGCAAATGGTAAGCTACTATATAGAACAATCAAAAATTTAAGAGAAGATATCACAATATTGATCGTAAATGAAACTAGTAATTTACTAGTCACAGAAGAGCATATAATGGAATGTTAAGGTATAAAGAAGTGCTAAATACAGACAAATATATTGAAAATCAAAAGCAAACCAATCTCGAGACCACTAAAAATATTAAAAAAGGTTCAAAAGATAAAGTAACATTAGAAGATGTCACAGAGTCGATAAGCAAATCAAAAAGGGGATGGAAGCAGGCTCAGATTAATATTAACCTGGAAATGATAAGAAATGCCAGGCATCAAAGTAAAAATATTGTATTAAATTATAAATTTAGCTCGGAAAAAACAACCGCATTCCTAAAGACTGGAAACTTGCAAACATCCTCCCAATATATAAAAAAAAATTACAATAAATTCTCAAATTACAGAGGCATAACTAGTCTGAGCATAGTAAAAAGTATATGAGCTAATTCTAGAAAAAAGATTAAGAAATGTTGTTGAATAAATATTCAGACTAGGATGGTGTACAACTTATTTAATATTCATAGTGTGACATCTACTGGCGAAAGCACTACGTTAAAAAAACTATACTTCGATTTGATCGATCTTGAAAAAGCCTTTAACTTAGTATCATGGAAGGAAATGAAGAAAACATTTTGTGGAAAAAGCAAAAGTACATAATAGCTGTACAAGAAATGTGATTGGAATGAACAAACATAACTCAGAATTTGTTACGAAAATGGGTGTTAGACAATACTAAGTCCTCTCTTGTTTGTTACACCAATGGATAAAATATCTACAGAAGCACGAAGAACTGTCAAACACGTAAGAATTTTAGTGAGAAAATTATGACAAAGATTTATGTCAGAATTAATCTATGCTGATAATTTAGTTATTGTGGCAAATAGCCAAAAACACCTATAAAAAGTTTGCAAATTTGGAATAAATGTTTTAATAAATACAACATGAAACCTAGACAAAAGCGAGATTATTGTAGTTTCCAAAGAGGCCGAAGTAAGTGATATCAGAATAGATCACAAGGCTTATGCTTGTAGTTATACGAGTGCTAATGTAGTCGAGTTAACAGCGCCGCATCAGCGTCAGCCAAACCGGACAATGGCACTACCATGGAGTAAGTTATAAGAACGCCGTTTGTTGCAAAAGTGATGAGAACCTGGCACCAAATAGTACAAAACAAATAAGAGTGGAGAGCTCATGAGGAGGCTTTTATCCAGTAGTGGATGTAAACAGGCTAAAAACAAAAATAAGAAGGGAAATGTTAAAACCCAAAAAAATACGAAAAATATAAAAATTTCTAAAACTACTTCTAATTAAGGAGTGCCTAATTTTATGCCCTGAAGTGTAAACTATTAACAGTTATAAATAAAAAATGGTTACTTACTTGTTTTCTGTTGCACCTCCAATACCGCTTGAACAAATCTATTATGAAGTTCATCTCTTTCTTTCTGAAGTGTTTCAAATCTTAACTCCAATGCATCATAAGACCATCTGAGGTCTTCCAAACTTTTCACCTTTTGTGACAACATTAATTTAGTATTAGCTAAAGCTTGTTTATCTCTCTCATAATTTTCTAATTGTCTTTTATACTCTTTAATTTGATCAAGTGCTGCTTTGAGTGGGTTAGTCAGTCGTTTGTTCTCTGCAGTTAAATCGGCAACTTGTTTGGTCATTCTTTCATTCTGCTTTCTTAAAATTTCCATTTGATCCTTAAGACTACTAATAAGAGCAAGATTGTTTAAAGTAATATCGTTGTAGTAGTTTTTCATTTCGTTAAAAGCTTTTTCATGGTGTTTAATGAGGTTAGAAATGTGTTCGTTCTTTCTTTCTTCCACTTCTGATATTTCCATGTCATGCTTATTATTTAGATGTGATCTTAAATCCGCGTACTTTTTTTCATATTTCATTTCCATTTCTTTGGCTCTAGTTTCAAATTCGCTTCTAGCTTTACTAATTTCTTCACTGTTTTGAATTTTAGAGATTTGATTTGCTCTTGGTTACTAAGTTCCTGTTCTCTCATAAGGGCCTTTAAACTTTTTTTATCTTCCAGAAGTTCTCGTTCTTGAACAGCATGTTCATCTTGTGCTTGCTTTAATGCTACCAGTGATTCAGCTTTGCATTCCGTTAAATTATTTTGATGCTCATATTGAAGATGTTTCACTTTTTGTTTAAAAAATTTTAACTCTTCTTCATTCTTTTCGACTCCTTCTTCTAAAGCCCTGTCTTTATTTCTTACTTGTGCTCGAGCTTCTTCAAGTTCGTTTCGGGTAATCTCCCAAAATGTTCGGATTTTGTCCCTTTCCATCTGGAAAAAATTTCTTTCTTCCCTTTCTCTATCATTTTCTTCTTTTATTCTTAGCGCGAAAGCTTCTAATTGTTCTCTGGTCATAGAAGCTGTATCAACCCCATCAATAATTTTGGGCCCACCGCCTTTTTTCGGAGGCATTTTAAAAATATTTTTTAACTTGCCACAATAACATAAAAATTAAAATATGAAATGAAATATGGATTAAATGACATTGTCTATTGCATAGCAACGGTCACCGGTGTGTAGGTGATGTTTGATCGAAATTAAGCTTATGGAAGAGCGGCGTTTTTAAATATAAATTTGAATCCAGTATAATCGCAGTAATAGTTTGGAAAATGATGACTTTTAATTACCTACTTGTTAATATTAAGGAGAATAATAGATATTTTTTGTGTGGTTTAGTTTGGAACTTTTACAATTTTGCCCTTTCACAAAATTTAATAGAAGTGGTTATACATATATGTATATACGAGGAGCATAATTTTTGACAGGTTTTTCAAACTTATATAATTCGTATATTAAATCTTATAATACGTAAAAACCTAGATTAATCCATATTATATTACTAGTACATTCGATCATTCTACGACAAGCCGATATTCTACGATAAGACAAGCCAAAGTCACAAATTAGAGCTATATTTTATTTAAAATAAATCAAAATAACATTCTGTTAGTCAATGTAAAAATGGTATACAAACATGTAGGACGCTACCCTTTTTAATTGCCCTGCAAAATTGCTTCGTAATACCATCTGTGTTCAAGGGGTACATATGGCAATAACTGCTTGATGTCTTCTTTTTTCTCTGCAGACAAACTGCCAATCTTCTTGTTTATTCTTGGAACTACAAAGTTTGGGGATATAACACACATAGTTTTATTTGTCTTATTGGTAGACCTATAACGTCGAATATCCACTTTCTTGAACGGTATATTGGGTCGTAGCTATATTTAAACAGATAACTACCAAATTCATCTACCCTTATCCATTTGATGCCATCTCTAAATTGAACAGTCTCTCCAAGAAGATCCTTTTTCCGGTTTACTAGTTTTAGAGATGTAGCTAATTCCTCAATGTTCCTAAAATGGGGTTCCATATTTATAACCTGGTTTCCTTTGGTTGTTTGCAGTATTATCTGTCGATACTCATCTGGTAAGAATAAATTAGGCTGTTTCCGTAGATTCTTTTCGATGCGACAAGTCACGATCTAGGTAAGAGTGGCCCACCTCTGGAAATTTATGGTCTATAGTTTTGAAGTACCCTTTCAAAATCATGTACTGGTACAGACAAATAATCTGGAAATTCTTATTTTGTCCAGCACAAGAGTCGGACCACACTTGCAGATGATTTTTTTCTCGAAGTGTTCTATCACTTTCAACCGCACTCAACAGTGAACTTGCAACTTCTGTACTGCCACGATTTGCTACGTCTTCTGTCCAGGTAAAAAATAGGCCCCTGTCTACATTTTTTAAAATTATATGCAGGCCGAGATTGTAAAACCACATCTGTCTTTTATAAAAAGCTTTTGATGTGGACAAACGAGGCAATGGCATAGTCTGTTGCAGATCCATAGTGACATATGCAACATCGTTCAACACATTGGCACTTTCCCTGTCAGCTTTTTGAGCCTCAAATGCAGATTTATAAAAATCAATATGTTCTTCTGAACATTGTCCACTATCACATGTACTACATGTATCACTCTTAGGTTGTCCAATGGATAAATTGAACTCGTAATCATAAATAAATCTGTACATGGACTCTTTTACTAAGAATTCGTCTGAAACTTGGTCTAGTCTGCATTGTTCAATGTAAAGTTTGTACATTTTAGGTACGGACAACAACGGTGATAAGTATTTTTTGTTTGGATTGTTGGCTCTAGAATAATGAGACAACTCAGCAGGAAACGAAGCAATATGTTCCATAACATATTTTTTTACATCTGGATCAAGTTTAGTAGGCCTGTTGTTATGCTTGCCCCGTTTGTCTAACTCCGGCGCTGACAAACCTTTTTTATCTGGTTTTGGATAAGAAATACTTTCTTTCTGCCTATTTGGTACAATGACATTAGGGCTGATTTACAAATTGGCACATGAGTTCCATTTACTGTAATACTGTACTTAAAAGATGCAGTTTTATGTCTGTTTGCACCCTTACGTTTTCGCTGAGGTTCACTTATGGAAATTGATTTAAAAAGAATTACATTTTTCCCGTTAATATCATGTTTGTAGAAGTCATTAAAAATTGATACTCTTGTATCCTGGTTAATCCTAGTTGAACATTTTAATCGACACTTCTCATTACAAATAATATTATCCTCATTAATGCGCTTGGCAGGAATCACTACACCTTTACGAGATAAGTAACTTTCTCCACATTCTCTTGCTTTAGCAGCCACATTTCTTTTCCATTGTTGTTTGTTTTTCTGTCGTTTCCTGGACAATTTTTGTTTTTTTACTTGTGGTTCTACATCTAAATGAGCCTGGTCACTATTAATAGGGCTACTCACTCTATCCTCAACACCTGCTGTTTGTAATTGAAATGGGAATTTGTAGGTTTACCACATCACTTTCCGCATCAGACTGTGGATGTATTTTTGCTGTAGAATTTGTACTTGTTGAAGGGGATTCTAGAAAATTAGTTTTATCTCGACAAGAAAGAAACCTTCTAGAAGAGGAAATGCGAGCACATCTTGTATAATCATCATCACCATTATCCTCACTATCACTAACGATATCTGAGTCCGGTACATATTCATCACTTGATGGATCGTCGAAAATGCAACTGACATCTTCATTTTCACCTGAAACCAAACAAATATAGTAGTCTATATCATTGTTTTATAAGATTATAATTATAACATTGCGTTTATTTTGTTATTTGATAAAATATTGTCTACTTTAACTTTTAACATAACCTCAAAATCTTTGATGTGAGAAAAACAATATTTTAATTTATTTGTAATGGTAATTTACTGTAGTATATTATTTTAGGTTAGTTATTTCATCAAGCTTACCTTCATAACTGTCTTCTTTTGCCTGTTTAAGAGCCAATTCTAATATTTGTTTACTTCTTCTCATCTTGCACTTTATTTTACAACGTCAACAAAGCACAGTGACTAAGTGGATGAAGGTGTTATGTGCATGCTGAAGACACATGGCACCTTCTCCCTCCAAACATTCTGCATATTAGTGTATCATAACCCCTTCACCAGCTGAATAAATACTAAGTTATGGCTAGAAGTGAAGGGAGATAATGGGAGAAACCTTCTAGAAAAGGAAATGCGAGCACATCTTGTATAATCATTATCACCATTATCCTCACTATCACTAACGATATCTGAGTCCGGTAGATATTCATCACTTGATGGATCGTCGAAAATGCAACTGACATCTTCATTTTCACCTGAAACCAAACAAATATAGTAGTCTATATCATTGTTTTATAAGATTATAATTATAACATTGCGTTTATTTTGTTATTTGATAAAATATTGTCTACTTTAACTTTTAACATAACCTCAAAATCTTTGATGTGAGAAAAACAATATTTTAATTTATTTGTAATGGTAATTTACTGTAGTATATTATTTTAGGTTAGTTATTTCATCAAGCTTACCTTCATAACTGTCTTCTTTTGCCTGTTTAAGAGCCAATTCTAATATTTGTTTACTTCTTCTCATCTTGCACTTTATTTTACAACGTCAACAAAGCACAGTGACTAAGTGGATGAAGGTGTTATGTGCATGCTGAAGATACATGGCACCTTCTCCCTCCAAACATTCTGCATATTAGTGTATCATAACCCCTTCACCAGCTGAATAAATACTAAGTTATGGCTAGAAGTGAATGGGAGATAGTGCTATGAGAAATAATAACACATAACGCCTTCATCCACATAGATATCCCAATTTTCAAGCAAATGTAACATAACACCTTCACCTTCCAACCCTTCAATTGATATCGAAAAAAATGTCAATATTTGACTGTGGGTCCGATGGGCCCGACGCGGCGTAGAAAGAGTTTGATAGTTACTTCACGCCACGCCGGTCCAACTATATAGGTAGTAGGAAGAGAGTTTTGGCATTTGGCACGCCACGCAGAGATTTAGTATTTAGTGTAGCTGGAGTACTTGTCTATACATGTTGAATCGCCCAAATAGTTCAGTATTTACTGTTACACAATGAGTTCACTGAAATACACGAGGTTTATCAAATTATAAACTTAAACAAATACTAAATAATAGTAATTCTAATTCCTATGAAATCTCTGATAATTCTGGAGACGAACTAGAAACTTTCGAAGAACGTAAGTTGATTTACTAACTGTGTTAACAGTGATGTAGCTGGCATGTTAGCAATGGGTAAATGGTTAGGGTAGGGTTAGGTAATGGTTAGAGATGGCTAAACAGAAGAGTTCTTTTTCGCTATCGCTACTGACTCAATATTTGAAATGATAGCAAATCAGACAAACTTATTCGCTACGCAAACACTGGTCAACACCGGCACCCTTTATCTTCCAGGTTACACAACTGGAATCCCACAGATACTGTTGAAATAAAAAGCTTTTGAGTTGCTCAAAAAGTTAGCTATTGTTGATAGCTTGGATGGGACTTAAAATTACCAATATTGTCAAGACTATTGGACTCAAGATCACTTGTTTAAAATGGGGTTTGCATCAAGTGTTATGCTTAGAAATAGGTTTGAAATTCTATTGCGAATACAATTCTTTTGCGAGGAGAATGGTTGCGAAGGAGACTACCCCTTTAGGCATTGTTATGAAATGCACACCAATATTAGATGCGAATATAACTGTTTGTACGGATAACTGGTATACCAGTATAGAGTTAGCAAACAAACTACTAGACAGAAATACACATCTTATAGGAACAATCAGACGAAACCGAAAATTAATACCAAAAGAAGTAGCTAGCACAAACTAAAAGTAGGTGAAGTAGCAGCTATAGAGAATAGCAGAGGGATAACTTTTCTAAATTGGAGGGTTAAACGTAATATGTTAATGCTGTCTACTTGCCATTCGATTGAAACTGAAAATGTACAAAGAAAACAAGGAATTTCTTTAGTAAAACTGAAAATGATTTAAGCTTACAATACAGGCAAAGCTGGAGTTCATTTATCAGATGTAATGCCAGCATACAGTGGTATAGAGCTATTACTAAATACTTCAGTAGTGAATGCATACATTTTGTATGTGCAGGTTACTGGTAACAAAATAGATGTGGTTGAATTTCGCAAAGAAATTGTAAAGTTTCTCTGTTGTAGCAGTTCAGCAAATCACATCACTTAATTCACTCCGAAAAGAAAATGCCACAAGTTAAGTGAGGTCCAGGGACATAAGCATAAAATACGAAAATACTGCAAATCATGTTACAAAGCAAATATGAAAAATGAAGGTCGTTAAGTAGCAAAGAATAAAACTAAAAAAGTTATTTGTTTTTTATATCTTAATATATTCGTTATTTCCTCCCCTTTCATTTAACACATCACACGCTCCAATCGGACCAATAACAACGGAGATATAATATAATGCCCTTTTGGCAATGCCGTTATGTGTGTTTTTTCATTCTCAACATATTTGCTACTCCTCTCCTTTCCAATGATGTATCATACGTGACGATCCGATGAACTATTCTACACCCACCACAAAACACTAAAAAAATATTTGAATCATCAATACACATTTCATTACAAAATAGTTTCAGCCATTCTTTCCGTATATCAGGTTAGGTTAGTAATATAAATAAGAATAAAGTGCATGTGAACGCACAATTAGGATAATATATTATACGCCATTAAAAAAATTTTTAGCAATAAATCAACCGTATCGTTTCGAGAACAAAATATCATTGAACTGTCCGATGTTGGTAGTTCAGATTTCTTACCTATGTGGCGTAGTTACCTTACCAGACAAACAGCGTGACTTTTTATATCGTCCTTGCTTTTTATATAGATAGATATTATATTATATCAATATAGTATATTATTATATAAATATTATACTTTTTATTCACATTTTTGTTAACCGATTAAAATTAGGTAATAACATACAATATATTTTAGATGTTAATACTTACGGGTTCCAGCCCAAATCCTGAGGATTAATATAAAGAATTCCAGCACGTGATACTGTAGCTGGGGTAGCAGTTCTTAAATTAGATATTTCAAAGAGAAGTCTCATAACCGGAGTTAGAGCTATGCGCTCGTTGCTGGCTAATGTTAATACTTTGTTATCGTCCATCACAGTATTTAGTGATTCAATCCACATAGGGTCTATATCACCATCAAGGATTATCCATTTAGGATTGTCACCAGACAAGTTTGCTTGATCACGCATTAGTACAGATAATAAACCTAAAATACATATAACTATTTTAATATAATATAAAAAACATTGTTTTTTATTATTCAAATAAATTAAAGTAATTTTAAACAATTTAGTTGTAGCACTTACCGTCTTTCCATTCTCTCGTAGCAGGATTAATAATGCCAAAAAGTTCGTCATTAGTAACGGCCTTGGGGTTTAAATCATTATATACAGGTTTTCTCTTCATATTTGAATAAGTTTTAAAAAGAGATTTCCAGACCTCCGTTTTTCCAGTGCCTGCATTACCAACAATAAATACTGAATGCCTTACTTCCAGAAGTTCTTCTAACTGGACAACCTAATTTTACAAATCACCAAATATTATTTTTATGTCTAGGTACTTGTATTGTGATACATATATAACAACACCCATTCCGATCATTTCAGAACAGAGGCAGGTCTCAGGCAGGGATGCATAATCTCGCCAACTCTGTTTAATATCTACAGCGAACACATTATGCGAAAGGTACTAGACGGATGGACGAAAGGTACTAGAATCGCGAAAAATCAAGAAGAAATGGAAGACATAATGAGATGTCTGAAGGAAAAAAGCAAAACATATGGACTAAAGCTAAATAGTAGTAAGACAAAGATCATGATAGTAGACAGAGCTCGGAATAATCTTCAACACATTAAAGAAATTGGGGCTTTGAAGTAGTAAATAGTCTTATATACCTGGGGTCCCTATTAACAAATGATGGAGGGTGTGACAGAGAGATACGTAGAAGGTTGACTATTGCTAGAACAGCTATGATGAAACTGGTAGCCATTTGGAAAAATTCTAGCATAACAATACACACAAAACTAAGGCTGGTAAGAGCGCTCATTTTTCCCATAGCCACATATGCATCCGAAACGTGGACCTTAAAGAAAGCGGATAAAAATAAACTAGACGCTTTTGAAATGTGGATATACCGCCGCATGTTGAGAATATCCTGGATTGATCATCGCACTAACGTATCGATATTAGAACAACTTAAAGTAAAGGATAGATTGCTTAAACAAATACAACAGAGATATTTGCAGTATTTTGGACACATTGCTAGAAGAACAGGTACGATGTAAAAACTGATAGTCGAGGGTAGAGTTGAAAGAAAGAGACCTAGGGGAAGATCTCCAAGCCGTTGGGTAGATCAAATAAAAATATTGATTAGGTAACCAAGGGTCACATGAGGCCGAAAAAGAAGAATAAGAAGAAAAAAGAGACTTGAGAGATCGTTTGACGCAAAGGAGATTTTGACGGTTACAATGACGGCTGCCGGCTGCGTATAAGAAGAAGAACTGATAAAGCGAGAAAAAGAAGAATTCACAGTTAAATGATAGCTGACGGCTACGAAGAAGAAGAATTAATAGACCGAAAAGAAGAAGAAACGGCCTTTGTAACGTTAGCGGGCGTATCTTACGTTCCCATCGGTCGGTGGGCGTGACTGCGCATGCGGAGTGATCGTGGCTTACAATGCTATTGAGATACAGAATTTTCCCAGGCCCAACCGCCCCTATACCTGCAAAAGATGGCGCCACTTCCATAAACACGACGGAATCTTGCAATAAATCGCTTAGACTCAAGTATCCTCCGGAGAGCTTCAGTATCTAACTAACTATGAGGGATAGCTCAGTCGTTTTCGTCTCACATCACATAATAGATATCAACAAGAAACCATGTTCTACGAACAGAAACCAGCGAAGTAAATCTTGTTATGAAAAGAAACTCACTTAGAGTTTGGTTTGTTCGACGCAAAGAAGATTTTGACAGTTGAAATGACAGCTGCCGGCTGTGTATAAGAAGAAGAAGAATTAACAAACCAAAAGAAGATTTGACAGACCGAAAAAAACAAGAATTGACAGACCAAAAAAAAGAGACGGTTTTTGTAACGTGAGCGGGCGTAGCTTACATTCTCATTGTCTCTTTTTATTTGTATACGCCTCACACTCTTTTATTATTTTATCGAGAATGTTTTAATAGTTCTCAACTTTGAGTTCTTTTTGGACTTCCTATTTAAGTATGTATTTAATTTTTGGCAGTTCTTTTATCGGTTTTTTTCTTTTATATTATTTTTCATCTGGTGGAGTTTTGAAGTTTTCGTATAAATTTATGTTTTCTTTGGTTTATTATTTAAAAATTTCATGCTCTAATTATTACATAAACAAAACTTAATAAAATAGAAACGTGCTCTATGAAAAAACCTACATATTAACATAAAATTAAAATGCACCTTTAATATAAAATTGTCTTCGGGCTGTAGTTTTAAATCAATTGCAGCTTGTTTCACTGTTCGCTCAAATTCGGCATCTCTTTTTCTAGGAACTTCTAAAGCGGGAAACAAATCCCCAATTAAGCCCATAAACACAGGAGTGTCGTCTGTAACAATTTTTGGAATATTAAAATCTCGTAGTGCCCTCATTAGAACTTCCTCCTCTGGTCTGCCTGGATCGCCTCTCTAAAATTGATATATTTTTTAATAATAGTTAAGAAAATAACTTAAATTTATATATACTATACCTTCAGAGATCCAGCAACCACAAGTACCGATTTTATAGCTCTTAATCCCCAATCATAGTGATCTTGTTTAGACAGTAATTCTTTACATAAAGTGTACAGTGTTATGAATTTTCTTGCTAAAATTTTTGCCTCTTGAAAACCTTCAGCCACCAACATGATTTCACATATTAGTTCAAAATCTGGAACTACCATAGCACATGGCCTAGAAGAGTAATTTGATGGCGTTATGCAATATCGGATCAAGCCGCATTAGGCTTATTTAAAAAAAACAGAAAATAAGTTTAGTAAGTTAAAGAAATTGAAAAAATACAAATACTAAAAACTGTTTGTGATAAAGTATCAATTTCTTTATAAAAAAAGTATATTTACATATCTTTTCCTATCTACAATCATGGAAAAAATGTTGGTTTACTCATTTTTACTTATTATTTTATTCACAGAAATCCTAAATAACAAAAACAGTATTTTAACTTTGACCTAATTATTTAAGTCGTTGTCACGTCTCTAGGTTTCTTGTTCCTGTTGTGAGTTGTTGTTCTCCAAACCCATATCAACATCAACGTTAATAGAAGAACCAAAACCATCGACATCATCTTAAGAGTCTGCTGCGTTTGACGATAATATACCTTTGTTAAACTGTTGAACATATTTGGGAATTAGTTTATAATTTAAATTATATATTTCCTTCTCTAGATAAGCTTTAGAGTGCGTTTATACCTCTATTCTGTATATTAATGTAGAAAATACATAGCATCTGATGATAGAGATTTTGGTACTAAGTGGTAAATCGTGACTTCTGAAAAGAGGCTTTATCTTTACGAACGCTGATCTTGCTTTCCATATGCGTTGCTTTATTTCTAGCTTTCCATAGGCTAATTATTCTGTAGTCTTCGCATGTTTTTGCATTTAATTTGTTTGGTATAGTTACGAAAGTCGACTTTAACCAGCTTTGCGAATATTTCAAGTTTATTAGTTTTTCTAATAGCTGCCGTGACTTCTTCAATAGTAATCGGGGTCCTCTTTAGCATTCTATGTCTTCAATGGCAATCTGCCTTTTATCTTCAAATGTTACTTCCACATATTTTTCCCAAATGTCTGGTCTCTCTTCTACACTTAGTAGTGAATTACCTTAGTTGTCTGCCAAACATCCAACTCTTCTAGGCTTGTATAAGCATGCAGCTTATTTAACCTTTTTGTGCATATTGAATGAATCGTGTTTCTGTTGTAATATCTGTATTTCGCACATTGTTCTCTCAGCTGTGTATGCTTAGCTATTCTAATTGCTTGTTTGATTTATTTGCTATTCTTTTTATAATGTCTTGTCCCGATCTTTGACTTTTGCCTCGCTTCCATCATATCTAGAATCTCATTTGTGTTCTACGATTTTTTTCTAATTTTTGGTGGATTGAGGAATTTTTCTTGTATGTCTTGTGAAACTCTATGCAATTTTTTAAGCTCCTGGTCTATTAAATCCGTTTGAATAACGGTATTTAAATTGTTATGTATATACTGTAGCAATCAAAAGACGAATATAAACAAAAAATAAAGGAAGGTATACCGGTCACTAGAGATTTGGAAAACAAAAATATCGATGAAATAAATCAGCTATTAACCGATACATTAGCAAAGGCGGGAAAAGAGGTAGCACAAACAAGAATAAAAAAGGAAAACTATGTATCCCAGGAAACAAAAAATCTTATGAGTAAAAGAAAAACATTACTGGAACAAGATAAGAGAAACACAGTAGATTACAAAGAGGTAAACAAAGCTATCAGAAGGAATATCAAGGATTATAAAAGGAGATTACAGGAAGAAAAAATAGAAAAAGCAATTGAACAAAATAAAAACATGAAGTGCTTAAAACCACAGCTTGGAACCATACAAATTAATAGTATAAAGAACAAAGAAGGTACAGAGACCAATAATGTAGAAGAAATTATACAGATAACACAAGAATATTATAAAAACCTCTACAATACAAAACAGAAACCAACCCAAGAAATCCTTAAGCAACTACAAATAAAAATAAAAAATGTTAATTCCGACTTACAACCAGAGATCAGTAAGAACGAGATAAGAAGAGCACTCAAAGAGATGAAGAACAATAAATCGCCAGGAAAAGACGGGGTGACTGTAGAAATGCTAAAACATGGTGGGAAAACAACTAGAGAAGTTTTGTACATACTTATGAATAAAATTTTAATGACAAAACAAATACCCAACAGTTGGAACGAAGCAATAACACTGTTACTATTTAAGAAAGGAGATAAAAAGGATCTAAAGAATTACAGACCCATAACTTTATTAAATGTGATGTACAAACTATTAACCAAAATATTAACAAATAGATTAACAACTAAATTAGATGGATACCAGGCAAGAGAACAAGCCGGATTTAGAAAGAGCTTCAGTACAAGTGACCACCTTTTAACGATGAAGATTTTAATCGAAAAAACTAACGAATATCATATCCCGCTATACATGGCATTTATTGACTTTGAGAAGGCATTTGATAGTGTGGAACACTGGGCAGTACAGAATTCCCTACAAAACAGCAGAATAGACTACCGATATACCGACTTAATTACAAATATATACAACAAGGCAACAACAACTATTAAGCTAATGAAACAAACGGAGCCTATTAAAATAAACCGAGGAGTAAGACAAGGAGATACCATATCGCCCAAGTTATTTAACCAAGCGCTAGAAGATGTTTTTAAACGACTACACTGGGATGACTTGGGAATTAATATAAACGGGCAAAATCTGAATCATTTACGATATGCTGATGATATTGTATTAATAACAGAAAAAAGTGAAGAATTACAAAGAATGATGGAAGAACTAGATAGAGAATCGACAAAAATTGGACTCAAGATGAATTATAGTAAAACAAAAACCATGACTAATCAACCAGAAGAACTTATGATTACAGTGGCACAAACAAAAATAGAACAAGTAAAAGAGTATATATATCTAGGCCAAATCACTAAATTAAATAAAGAAAATCAGACCGAAGAAATAAAGAGAAGAATAAGATTGGCCTGGGCATCATTCGGAAAACTGTCTTATATTCTAAAGAATTCAAAATACCCCCAATACTTAAAAACGAGAGTCTTCAATCAATGTATACTCCCTGTCCTCACATATGGCTCTCAGACATGGACGTTTACAAAGGAAAATATGGAAAAAATAGCAAAGACAGAAAGATCCATGGAAAGACAAATGCTGAACATTAAACTATCAGACAAAAAAAGAAACGAATGGATCCGTAATAAAACAAAAGTGAAAGATGTCTCAACCCAAGTAGCAAAGCTTAAATGGAAGTTCGCCGGACACACCCTAAGGCAGAAAGATGAAAGATGGACTAAAACAATTATACATTGGAGACCATGGAATCACAAACGTAAAAGGGGAAGGCCACAAATGCGATGGTCAGATGACCTGAAGAAACACGCCGGGTCAAAATGGATGCAAATTGCCCAAGATAGAGAGGCATGGAAGAAGGAGGAGGAGGCCTATATCCAAGGATGGATTTTAAGGGCTGTATAGATAGATAGATAGATGTATATACTGTTTTACACTCTGTTCTGTGCGTTGGTCTTTGAGTAGCCTGATGTCGTATTTTGGGTTGACACTACGTCGAATCTTCTTTAGCCTGACCCTCGTATTGCAAATCACTGGGTTATGGTCTTGACTTGATATCGGCTTCTGGGTATGTCTTGACTGTTGTAATGCTTTTACGGAATCTTTTATTAATCATAATGTAATCTATTTGATTTTTGACTATGTGGCCTGAAGTATCTTGAGGTGATTTCTACGTATATAATCTTCTTTATGGGAGTTTGAAGTAAGTGTTAGTAATTACAAACTCTTCTTTCTGATACAAATTCACCCAATCGGTCTCATCGGTTATTTCTTTCTCCAAGCTTAACTTGCCCTATGAATTCTTCCCGATTGTCCCCTACCAATCTTGTTATTTAAATCCCCATAATCAAGGTTAGATCCTTTTTGGAAAGGTGTTTCAAGGTGTTGGATAATTCATTATAGAATGCTTCACTTATGTCGTCACGTTTGTCAGCTGTAGGGGAATATACCTGGATAATGTTAGTTGGTATTGCATGATTGCATATTGCATAACACCATCCACCTTCTTGATCTTGTCAGGATATTATTGTTCACTCCCTGGTGAACTCTAATAAATTGCGTGTTTTAATTAAAAAACATACTTATAATATTAATACACACATTAAACAAAAAACATATGAAAAACATCTGTATTATTAAATATAAATTAGATTCAGAAATATTAAATGTAGTCAAAAGACATACCTAAATAGAGCTTTTAAATTTTCAGGCAATTCAGTTCTTCCAGCATAGCCCGGATTCATTGTTATAAATATTCCAACTGTAGGTACCAACTGAATAGGATCCCCCATAAAATCGAAAGTAATCTTTTTATTTTTAATGGCGTCCAAAACAGACTTGACTTGGACAGCTACGACCGATAAAACTTCTACAGATATTCTATTGAACTCGTCGAAGCAACCCCAAGCTCCAGTTTGAGCTAAACCTTTGTAAATATTACCACAAGACTAAAAATATTTAAAAATAGTAATTATGAATAACTGTACAATATACAGAGTGGTCCAAAAGTCTGGAAACGCCCAATTATCTCGTAAATTTCTAGTCACAATTGTACAAAATTTGAGGTACACCTATTTTGGGATACGGAGATTCTATATTTAATAGTTTCTCTTATATTATTAGTAACTTTGGTTTTTCAAATTCATCACCGTGTATATTCAGTCATTATTGGAATCTCCTATTCAATACGAGTTCAACCATATGTAACACTTATGATTTTATATAGTCTGGAAGGTCTTAAATACATTAAACAAAAGTCTGGCTACGCCTAATTGTCTCAATATTTTTTTAATACTATTTTCAACTACATTAAAACGTAACAATTGATAGATTAGAAGATTTTCTAACATAATGTTTACTTTCTCAAGTGTTCAACATGTGCTCCATTTGTGAGTTGATCGATGGTAGAATGCGTCTACCACATTTCTCCATGATTGTCTAGAAATTATTCGAGATTTATCGATAATTCGTTGCCTTAGCTCTGCAAGAATTGTTGGTTTAGTTTTGTAAACTGAATTTTTCAAGTATCCCCAATAAAAATAATCTTTAGGATTGAAATCAGGTGAACGGAGGCCATTCAATTCTACCTCGTGTACCAATCCATCGTCCGGGAACTATCTCATCTAAATAACGCCGAACATTTACACCAAAATGAGCTGGAGCTCCATCCTGCTGAAACCATATCTGACTTAAAATTGGCCCCAAACAAGTTTCTCAGTGTAAGTTATTTTCCCAAACAATTTTATTTTCTCAAAGTAACTTTTCGTAACTATCTAACGTTAAATTTCCTTCGATAAAAAATAGCCCAATTAACTAGGTACCTACTATATCTAACCATACATTTAATTTTTGTGGTATTTGAGTATGGTTTTCACGCATCCAGTGTGGATTCACGTCACTCAGTACCTTAAATTGTGTCGATTTACACTTCTACACAGTATAAAGGTTGCTTCATCGGAAAAACATATTCTGTTAACGAAGTTTTCATCATTTTAAATTTTATCCATCATTACCTTAGTAAACTCTAATCTACGATCGAAGTCATCTTCACTTAATTCTTGCAATAAGTTAATTTTGTATGGTTTAAATTTATTCTTACGTAAGACACGTAAGACTGAAGAACGACCTACATCATGTACTTGTGCAACCTTGCGTGAGGATGTATGTAGATCTTCAATAAAACTTATATTGTATCTAACGTTTTGTTGTCATTCATAACTCTTTTCGGTCTATCTGATCGGTATCTATCGTTTACTTTTTCAGATTCCTCAAATCGCTTAACAGATTTTTGTACCGTCGCGTTATGAATAGTAGGTTTGGGAAAGTATCATTGAACAAGTTGGCTACTTCACAATAAGATCTTTTTCTGTCACCGCACCCTCTCATCATTAGAATAGTAATTAGTTCTTTTTCGTTAAGAGCCATTTTAGAGAAGCAATTTATCTTGCAGAACTTTTCGAAACACAACTACTGTCAGTTTTAGTTAATAATGTAAATGATGAGCAAATGTCAAAATCACAGCTTTCTACATTGAAATATTTAAATTTATTAAAATCTACATATTTTGCACTGTTTTATGTATTTAAAATCTTCTAGACTACATAAAATAATAAGTGTTACATATGGTTGAACTCGTATTGAATAGGAGATTCAAATAATGACTGAATATACAGGGCGATGAATTTGAAAAACCAAAGTTACTAAACTCAAAATTGGTATGCCTCAAATTTTGTAAAATTATGACTAGCAATTTACGAGGTAATTGGTCGTTTCCAGACTTTTGGGCCACTCTGTATATAAATATCATTGTTTAACTTAAAATACGTTAATCACCTTGTAGTCCATTTGTTCCGAACAATTAAATACATAAACCATAATTCCTAGGGCCCGTCCAAGATCTTTAGTTGTTTCGGTTTTTCCTGTACCTGCAGGTCCTGCAGGCCCTCCTCCCATAATTAGATGAAGTGACTGCAACAAAAATTAGTAATATTATCTATTACCTTTAAAGGGTCATAAAACTAGTTAGTTACATTACGAAAGTATACGAGAGAGATTCATTCATTTGAGGTGATGCGAAAATATGTAAATAAAAATAACAACAATAACATACCCTGTGAAAGTTTTTGTCAGTTTTTCTATTAGGCACGGCCACCTGCGAATTAGGGATGCTCTCTAGGTATTCGTAGCGCCAATGTCCAGAGAATAACAGACGCGTGCTGTGAAACAAAAGCTGACACTGACAGTAAGTATAAAATACACAGCCTTGAAAATGATGCTAATTAATTAATGTTTAGGATCGCTGCCTGGAGATCGTCAGGACACGTCTGGAATCTAAACATGGCGCGCTGGACGTGATAGCATGCATGTTGAGGAGACAAGCCCTTTTTATACAATCAGCTACAACCCAACAACAAGAAATACGACAAGCGAGCTAAACATTACCAAAAGCTTCACTCACTAAAGGTGCTGCGCTGAAATATCTGTCCAGAATCGATCGACAATCTACAATAACCGAATTTTTTAGGCAATACCTAGAAATTTAATTATCTGAACAAAGAGTAGCAGATCAATACCGGGTAATTATAAGAAACAATCTTATTCCAGAGAATAGATACGATAATCAGAATCTAAGTGGAACGGGAGATTTATAACCAAGAAATAGTTACAAAACAAGTCCCTAATGAAATACATGAGCAGATTCCTAAGCTTGCCATACAAGAAGCTCAACCAGATAGTACACCGCAGGATAACGAGTTGAGCGGTAGCCTGGTAAGCGAAATTACAGTTTCTGTACAAGAGCTTAATAAAATAAACCCACTTAGACTACAGTATAAGAAAAATAGCAATTAATTGATGTAAAATGCAACGAAAGGATCGCCAAGTACGGAGATCTGGAAATTCAAATGAAGACAATAGAAAATGAAAAGTACCCAGATAATACCTATTATTCTCTTCACTACTGGAGTTATTTTGAAGAACCTCACAGAAAATGTAAAAAAGCTGCGTCTGAATGAACATCTCTGTAAGACCATGCAGAAAACTATACTGCTCTTGACGTCCAGACATGTACAAACATTTTTGGAAGATACTCCAGCATACTATATCACCTAGAGCTTGGTAACAGGGAAAGAGCTAAAGCTTACTAGAGATCAATCCTTTTGATACCTTAAAATAGAAACTTTTGGGGAGATATCATTAAGGAAGCCGTAACAGCAGAAATAATGATGATAATTTGCTGTCCATCTGAATACTACAAATTCTAGAACTTCTACTAGTTTAAGAATAAATTTTATTTTTTGTTTCTGAGAATGTTGACTTTCCCATTGACATCCTATTCAATAGCGTGGGAAAAGATATGTAGGAAGATCTTATTTCGGGTTTTAATTCTTTGTATAGTTATATTTGTAATGGAAGTGGATGAAAAAATGTTGTACTGATTACAATGTAATGATATAAATATACCTGTAGAATGGATATTTTACAGGGGTTTTAAAAACCTTTTCATATATTTTTACACCAAGTTATTGAAGGATGAAAATAAGACTACCAGGCAAGTTGAAACGAAATAAATTTTTATTTAATGTTATGCTTACACGATAGAAATTTTGTTCCTTCTTAATCATTTATATGATATGTGTCTATATAAAATCAAATTAAACCAGAAATACGTCATTTATTTTTTTTTCTTGTTTTTATATTTTAAAGTAATTAAACATCTTGCCATATGATTATTAAGACATAAAACTATTTATATTCTTTTATTTTATTCGATATAAATAGGAACAAATTTATATGACTTAAAATTGCTACTTCTGTCGCTTCAGACCTAACACGTTTTTAACACTCCATTTTTTTATCAGCTGTTAATCCCGTTTTATGAAATTATTTTTAATTTTAATATGTATGAGTAAAGTAATTGCTTATCTTGATAAAGTTAAGTAAGCAATTTCGCTGTTCTCCTTGCACGTTTTCCATTATAAAAAAAAGTTGAATCAATTTCAACGCGTGTTTTGATGGAATAGACCATGCCGAATTTTAAAAAATACTTATTTTATATCATTGTTAAACGCTACCAACAACAGTTCAAATAATCAAACTTTTTGTAAATTTCTTTTAACTAATACTTTAAACACTTTTAACGAATTTATACTTTTTCATAAAAACAGAGTTAAGTACATAATATGAAATAAAAATCATTAATGCCTGAAGTCTCCATCGAAATAACTATCTAATGGTCAGCCACACATGGTCTATTTCTAATTTAGAATTAAAGGTTTGCAGTACTGATAAAATTAAATTTCTAAAGAAAGAGTAGAAGAAAAACAGGGACCAGGAAGGAGAAGTATTTCCTGGCTGAAAATTCTACGTACGTGGTTCAGCACAACAACCACAAATCTTTTCAGAGCAGCAGTTTGCAAAACACAGATTGCCTTGATTGTCGCCACTTTCCGAAACGGATAGGCACTACAAGAAGAAGAAGAAAGTACTAAAAGGGAGGGGGTTCACAAATGAAATAGATATCGATTCGCTCCGTGCGTGACTAACGCGACACCTACCGCTTTCATCTGACAGTTTTGGACCTCCCAATTTGAGGTTAAACATATGTTAAATGCATACGAAATTGACAATTATTAATAATTAGTTCTTTATTATATTTTTTCAGTTTATGTACAAAATAAATGTAGTATTAAAAACTGGGTTTCTAAAAATTCATCATAATTTATCTTTTCAACCACAAACGGAAAAAAGGGAAAAATCTAGTACTGGCAAATCAAGTTTTTCATGTGGAAGAGCATGTAATTAAAAACAATAATAGTAAAAGTTATGATATAAAAGCTAAAGTCACCAGGCAGGCTGCAGTTAGCTTGAAGCCTTATGAAATATTATTTAAGGTAAATTATTTAAATTTTTCCTATTTCAATTGCATAAAAATGAAATTATGTGATATTTACTTTTTCATATTAATAGCACGAATCCATCTTTTTCTTTTCTCTAATTTATATGTAATCTTTGGAAACCTATAAAAACTACACTCATTATTTTTACTATTATTAGAACAATTAAATACGCAACATGTATTTGCACCCATTTTTGATAAAATTTATGCGTAAAAAGATTTCCGCACTACGCACGCTGGCATCGTTTCAAGGTACCCCTACTATGGTTACGCACGGAGCGAATATTATTAAAAGATGAGATATTTTATGTCTTTTAAACAGACATGAGACAGTACATGTTTTATCATTATTTATTATGAATTAATGTTTTTAACAACTTACCTGAGTTAATGTTATATAACAACGATCTGTAAGCGGAGTTATAACAAGTCTTGGAGTATTTCCCAAGTACTCGTAACTGTATCTAAATTGTGCATCACATATGTTTGCATAGCATTCTTTATCTTTCTCGCACCATCTGTGTCGTAATTGGGAAACCCATTGAAAAGCTAAGGCGCTTTCAACTTTTGATTGTATTAATTTGCCTACGACATCTCTAGAATGCACGTCGATTGTGCAAATTGTCATGATTTTTTGTCTGTCTTGTTTGGATAAATCTCCTGCAAGACATTTTGTAGGTTATAAATAGATAATAGATAACTTATTTATTATAATAAGATGGTTTTTTAATATTGGGACTACAGGGAACCATTAAATTTTTTGAAAATCAATATACGTACCTAACAATAATGAAATTAACGTGCTAAGTTGGGAAACTTGTTTCTTGTAATAATCTCTAATAGAATTATCATAACCTTCTTCTAATCTAGAAAATGCAATGTTAACTTCAGTAGTCCACCATATCTGTGTACCAGTAAGAGAAACCTGGGCAGGAAAATCAAACAACCATTGATCTCTAGGTTTTTCTTCATACGTTGTAACCCCTTCACCAATTAAAATTCTTATTGTAGACCGCATACAAGATTGTACTCTATTTAACCACACCTCGACCTGATAAAGCAAAACTTAAATTAAAATCATTAACAAAAATCCTCAAATCTCAAAAATTTCATTCATTATAGTATAAATTGTTATTATCACTAAATAATAGAATTAAGCATGTTTTTTGTATACACCCAGATTTTTAAATTAAAATCGTTATTATTATATTATTATATTTATTATATATATTATTTATTCTCATTTAAATAGTAATTACTTTAAAATGCCCAAATTAAAATCTTAATTTAAAATTCAAGGCATATGAAGAAAAACCTATTGAAATACTAGGTAAAACAGAGGTTAATATTAAGTTTGTAGACAAAACTTATTTAGCACCGTTAGTTATTGTAGAAAAGGGTAATAGGAAATCACTTGTAGGAAGTAAGACTGACAGGCCTTTTATAAAAAACCAGGAAAGTGAGAGAAATATTAAGGGTTTGGAGGTTAAAAATTAATATAAGAGACATTAATATAATGTAGATGCTGTATGCTTCAAATATAAAAAGATAAAGCTTTAGAAAAGTACATTTTGTTTATATTATGTTATAAATTCTGCAATTTTTGATTTGTATAAAACAAGAATGAGTAAATATTTGTTTCTTTGGAGATTAATTGCAGTTAATTATTAGAAATTTTTTTGGCAATTACCCTTTGATATATTAGGGAATAGATTTGGCAATCGTCAAATCAGCAGTTGCCAGATTGCAACAGATGTTTGCAATTAATCTCGAAAGAGACAAATATTTACTCGTTATTGCTTCATATAAATTAAAAATTGCAGAGTTCATAAAATAGTATAATGATAATTTTTCGACTGTTCTAACAACCATTCAAATTTCGTCATTTTGTGTCATGTGGAACAATTTCACCCAATCATGTTAACATTAGACTGATAATTGCATTCAGTGCAATTTTCAATCCCTATGACAACACGATCGAGTTTGACAACTTCATCCAAATAAATTTCAAAATGTCACGTTTCTAATGTTAACTTAAATTTTAATAACTATTTATAACTGGGAATAAGCCACAATTAAAGATAAAAATACGTTTATTGACGTTTCAATTTCCAATTCAGAAATCGTTCTCAAAATACAAATTCAATATAAATTATATAAATTATATTATTTATATAATTAAATTAATTATTAATTATTATTAAAATATAAATTCAACATTTCAACAACATTCAAAACAACAAACACGTTGAGATCTATTTTGTCCAAAACCAAACCTAACAATGAACAAGAAAGGACAAAGAATTGCATTTATAAAATACCTTGTGAATGCGATCAGTTTTATTTAGGTGAATCATCAAGGCCATTAAATGTTAGAATAAGTGAACATCAATCTTATATTAAAAATAGAGAATTTGATAGATCTCAAATATGTAAACACGCATGGGATAATGAACATAGGGTTCAATGGAATAATTCAAATATAGTCCTAAAAGAAACGGATGGTAAAAAAAGAAAAATCAAAGAAGCGGCTCTAATTATGCTAAATGAGGCCAATTGTGTCGCAAATTCCTCGGCAGAATGTAGTAGGATCTGGTTACCAATATTGAAAGAGGAAGTTATTAATAAGAAAATACCAGTATTAGTAAGTCAGTAACATATAGAGGATACATCATTTATGTTTTTTAAATAACGTAACATATAAAATCAGAATTTTGATGTTTGTTGAAGGTAAACTAAATTCACGAACAAATACTTACAATGTCGGGATAGTATTATGAGGTTTTTTTCCTGGTTTTTCCCTCATAATTTACTATGGAATCACTAACAGGAGAATTTTACTGTCATCATGTCATGTGTTTGTCTTTTTAAAGACGAATTACATGCTATGATTTTTTTCTGACGGATATTCTCAAGTTAAAGTTGATTTCATGTAATCGAATGAACTATCTTATAAGTAAAGTCGTCCCAGGAGCGCAACTCAACAATATTGGCAATATCATTTTAAAGTCGTCTACTTTAAAATGCATAATGTATGTCTGAATTGTCAATATAAATGAGTCAGATAAAATTAAATTATTAGAAGAATTTTTTCACTATGTAACAAAAAACAAAATTTGTTTAATTTACTGTTTGTATTTTGAGAACGATTTCCGAATTGGAAATTGAAACGTCAATAAACGTATTTTTATCTTTAATTGTGGCTTATTCCCAGTTATAAATAGTAATTAATTTACAATGCCACAAGAAAATAGCTTCAGAACAATATAAATTTTAATAATTGTACTTTCACTAACTGTACTTTTAATAAATAAATGTTTCGTTATGATTTTTTTTTTCGAAAAATTATCCGCCGAATATCCCTCGGACATTGACGAATGCCTCATAATTTCATGACAAATTTCTCAAGCTCGTTGCTTGGTAACAGCACGCAGCCTTCGGCTTCGTGCTGTTACCAAGGAACGAGCTTTCGATTGTCATGAAATTATCTCGTCTGTTATCAATGTCCTAGGGATATTACTACTGAAAATGTACTTTTTAATATTAATACTATTAATATATAATTAATCTGTACATTATAAAAACATACCAACACTGCCAAACCCAAATATTTTTGACATTTGCGGCTTTATTCAGCTTGTACTTTCGGTAAACTCAACCAAAATATTTATTTCAATTGTTGAGCAGTGTATATTTGCTTATATTTGGTGTAAATTGTGAAACAAAATTCTAATCCATACTGCAGTATTTTAATTCTTTTGTATTATTAATGGTACACGCGGAATTTAAATTTCTGCTAATTTTAGTATTAAAAAATATGGGTTTCTTAATTGGTGTATTTTAAGAAAGAGGCTTAAAATTTAAATATTATTGTTATTTGTTTAATTTTAATACGTTTGACACTTTTTCTTTATAAAAACTAAATATAGACAACTATCTCATTATTAATGATCTAAATGTAACTTATAATAAAATATTACATTTGAAAAGACTTACGGCTCCATCACAGGTAGTTGAGTTATTAAAGTTGACGTGTTCCCCGTCTTTGGCAATCATTCCATGAATTTGTTTATCCAATGTATTATCTTCATTTCTCCCAAAATTTAACTTGGCAATAGAATCAAACAATTTGGTTAAATGTTTCGCTACCAATTCGGGCTGATTTCCATTGGAGAGAATATCTAGCAGGTCAGCTGAGGAAACGAAGTAAAACCTTGGAAATGCTAATCTTTTTGTTTCTAGGTATACAGCTAAAGCTTTTTCACACAAGGTAAGGTTTTTTTGATGCTCTTCTAAAATTTCTAAAAGACCTTGTCGATTTGTAGATTCGATGACGTTCGGTACTTTTGCCATTTCAATCATTAGTTTCTTGAAATTAGTATCTATTTTATCAAAGCGGGCTGAATCCTCAGGTAACTGATTCCTTATATCTTCGGAGCTCATAAAAATGGACTCTAAGTGGGTCCACGTCCTTTGCACCTCAAACCTATCGAATTGATGTAAAGTTTTTTACGGTATTTAAAATGTTATATTATAAACAAATATAAAAATTATAAATTTAAAATGTAATAGTAAAGGGAAGTTTGACATTTACTACTATCAATTTTTATAAAGTGAACAAGTAAGACCGTAGAGTGAAAATTATTTATAAAGAGTCATAATGAATCTTTTGATTTCAGGCTTTTTGTGCACCAGAACATGGACAATAAATAATAGTTTTTCATACAAATTAAATTTCAAAAATTGTCGTCAATATTTTTTATGGCTTTGGCCTATTCGATTTAGTAAGTAGTGACTAAACTAAAAAAATGTTATTGATTTTTCCCCTCTTTTTTCCTCTTTTTTTACTTTTTAATTTTGCTGTTTTTTTTGTGTTTTAATTAGTTATCTACTTTTTTGACAGAGTTATTATCTATGTTTTTTAATTTTTATTTTGTTTTGTTTTAAAAACTTTTTTTGTCTTCTTTTTGTTTAATTATCGTAATTTTGCTTTATATATTCTTTTGTTTTTTGTTTTTTTATTTATTTATTTTTTTTTTCGTATCGTCGTTATTCTATGGTTAGTACAATATTTAGTTTAAAGCTTATATTTACATTTCCTATTTAATCTAAAAATACAATTGAAGGTTTCTATGTTTCCAAAAAAAATTAATCCATTTAAGTGAAATGGAAAGCAGTAAATCTTCATATTTTCCACATGTATAGTTTGGAGTATCTAATAGTTTCATTTTGTAGATTCTTGGTTTGACCTTATTCTTTTAATAACTTTTATAACAATTCTTGTGGGACTCTGAACAAAACCATCTTTTTTGAAGTAGTTTGGGTTGCCACTGTCTGTTTATAGGAAGACTTTTTTCGAATTCCATATAATTTTGCGGTACTACTACCTACTTACTAACTATCCATATGGATAGTTGCGTTTGGATTTAATTCGAGTGTCTTACTATTCTCTGTTGTCCAGTATTCTATTGGTACACTGTGCGTGCAGTGTTATTTTCGTTTTTTGAACCATCAGTAAACATCTAATACGTTATTTTCATATTTTTTTCAACGCTGATTTTGGGAAAAATAGTGAGAAAATTCCATCACTTACAGCCATTTCACAAAATCATATAATAAAAAGTAATTAGGAGGAACTCCACCAACTCACCAACCCGCCTGGCAAGTGTGGTGTTTAAATGCCAAAACCCCCTAAGCATAAACAGACATTCAAGAAAACGGCCCTCAGTCCCTGGCAGCTGGCTAGTTCCCAACCAAGGTAGCGGTAGGACTCACGGACAGCGGGCAGAGCGTGCGAAGAATCACCGGGTTGTAGGAGGCTATCAAGAACGACGAACGCTGCACATAATTACGTATAATGTAAGAACCTTATCTAAGGATGAAAAAATGACGGAACTGGAGGAAGAACTCAAACATGTGAAATAGGATATTATAGGAATAAGCGAAGTCAAAAGAATAGGTGAAGATCAGGTCAAACTAAAATCAGGCAACATATTCCACTATAAAGGGGAAACAGAATCGACAACTGGAGGAATAGGTTTATTAGTACACAAAAAATTACAGAAAAATATACAGAGCATTGACTGCATTTCCCCAAGAGTTATGTATATAAATCCAAGACTAAATAAGAGATACAATCTGAAAATAATCCAGGTATACACCCCCACCAGCGATTACGAAGATGAAATTGTTGAAGCCTTCTATAAGGAAATCGAAAGAGCAAAAAAGCAGGAACCGGCTCATTACAATCTGATAATGGGAGATTTTAACGGGAAACTCGGAAGAAAAAAGGACGAATAAGAAGTGGAAATCAGAGATTTTGGAATCGGAGTAAGAAACGAAAGAGGCGAAATGCTTACCAACTTTCTACTGCAACACAACCTGTATGCAATAAACACCTTTTTAAGAAAAAACAAAATAGAAATTATATAATAACAGATAAAAAGCAAATTATTCAGGATGTCACTGTACTCAATAAACTATCAGTAGGAAGCTACCACAGACCAGTAAGACCTAGAGTAACGATAAACCTACAAAAAGAAAGAGCAAAGATGATAAACAGTTGCAAGCGCATAGTTTGGAATTCACCAAATCAGCCAGAAGTATACATAAAAAATATTGCCGAAACTTTACAGAGTAATAATCCCAAATCTCTGAGTATCGACGATCACAATAAATTAATAACAGACTCGGTTAGAAACGCACAACTCAAATTTTGCAAGAAAAGTGGCACCAAAGGTGAAAAGGTTAGCAAAGATACAACAGCTCTCATGGAATATTTATTTAAATACATGTTTATTTAGATTAAGCTTGTGTTTTATTAAATCTGGTGTCTAATAGATCTACCCGTCGCAGAGTTTTTGGCAAACCTCACGCAATAATATATTTACAAAGGGAATATATAAAATTATTTAAACGTAAATATATATATATATATATATATATATAATATATATATATTATATATATATTATCTAGTATTAAGGAACATTTAGAAGTCAACGACTAAATTATTTTAATTATAAAAATGATCTAATAGTTACCATACTGTAATGACTTGATCAGCCGTCCCAAGTTTATTTTGCCAAGATGACACTTCCTCCAAGAAATGCGCGATAAACTTCGAAGTAATTAAATTCTGCAGTTGTACCTGATTTTCTTCTAAAGTTTCAATTAGTTCTTCACTAGCCCTTAACAGTTTGCATCCTGTTCTCATATGAGTCTCCTGATCGAATTCCATAGCAGACCAAGTTATGTTGAGCTCTCGAAGAGTTTTCTCCATTGACATTTCTTTTACTGCTTTGTCTACTATATTCTTAACTTCTTCTTCACATTCGTGTAAATTAAGCTCTAGCAAATCGGCGAGTGTGGTATTATGGTCCATAACTATTCGTGTCTAAAAAACATATAACAATATGAATGTGTGTGAAGTAATTGGTATATAAAAAAGCAAACAACAAATTTTATATTAAATATAAATATATTGCTACTATTTTTATTTCTACTTCTACCAGTACTACTGTCTAGTTAACTTACTTAGTTAAGTCATTAAAAAAAAGAATAAGTACTACTAATAAAATTTATATGTGAAAGTATAAATATGGGTAAGACAGAAAAACAGAAAACACATATCTGATAAATCTGAAAAAAAGGAAATATCTACATTCCAAACTTTATTGTCATTATGATAATTTTTTGATGCTACTAAGTTCTTATATTTATGGTATGCTTAGTTTTGTCAATCTGGAGTTTTCTCCTTATTCTATTCAAGAAAATATTGGTGCACATCAAAAAGGAGAATACATAATAAAATATAGAGAACTGCTTTTATAAATTCAAATAATTGACAGCATATCAGACAGGGTTACATACATTGTCTTAAAACTAAATCCAAAAACTAAAATAAAGATCGTGCAAGTTTATGCTCCAATTGAAAAAGCAACCGATGAGGAAATAAATTCTTTTTACGAAGACGTTAAAAAAGCTATAGACAATAACAAAGAATCCAAAATAATAATAATGGGAGACTTTAACGCCAAAATTGGAAGTAAGATTGAAGACTCTGAAAGCAAGATTGAAAATTTTGGATTCGGCAGAAGAAACACAAGAGGAGAAAAACTCATGGAATTCCTGGAACAAGAAAACATGTATGTTATGAATACCTTCTACAAAAAGAAACCTAACAAAAAGTAGACATGGGTCACACCTAACGGAACTACCAAAAATGAAATAGACTATTTTCTCTCAAACAACAAAGGAATATTTGAAGACGTCACAACGGGTAGTGACCATCGTATAGTCAGAGCAAAAATAAATATTAACATGAAAGAAGAGAGAAAAAGGATTAAAAAAAAACGAGGATAGATGCCTTTAAACTAAGAACAAATGAAGAGCAATTCCGAGAGGTCTTAGCGGATAAGTTCGAATCTGATCCTTCACATAATCAAGATCAAATTGACGAGATTAATAAAAACCTAAATAAAAACCTTCTCGCAGCAGGACTACAGGTCACAAAGAAAACAAGGACTAAAGAAGACAAAATAAGCAATGAAACTAAACAGCTAATGACGGAAAGAAGACAACTACTAGCGCAAAACAAACGCCATACTCAAGAATATAGAGAACTTAATAAAACAATTAGAGAAGAACTAAAACGCGACATACAAAAATGGAACGAGAACTTAATAGAGCGAGTCATTGAAAACAACAGAGGCTTAAAATGTCTAAGACCCGCACTGGGAGTTCAAAAAATCATCAAAATTAAAGACGCCAACAATAAGGTAGAGAAGGACAAATATAAAATAACAAATATTGTCGAAGACTTCTACACATCCTTGTACAGCTCGCAAGGCCAGCCTAATGAAACAACAAAGGAGAACGTCAAAAGAAAAATAAAAAACGTGGGATCAGAAGTACTACCAAATATAAAGGGATACGAAATAGAAAGAGCTTTAAAAGAACTAAAAAATAATAAAGCTCCAGGACACGACGGTATAATTGTCGAGCTCTTGAAAACAAGCAAGACATTAACAATCCCTGTACTAACAGAGCTATTTAATAGATTTCTCTATAATAGCCAGATCCCTAAAGACTGGAACGAGAGTCTAGTAATACTCTTACACAAAAAAGGGGACAAATGTGATCTACAGAATTATAGACCTATATCGTTGCTCAGTCAAGTATACAAAATATTTATGAGAATTATTAAAAACCGGTTAACCTACAAAATGGATAATTACCAACCGGTTGAACAGGCTGGCTTCCGCAAAGGATATAGTACATCAGACCATCTGCTGACAATGAGAACATTGATAGAGAAGGCAAATGAATACCAACTACCCGTATTTCTTGCCTTCGTCAACTATGAAAAGACGTTTGATAGTATCGAGATGTGGGATGTGGGCCATAGATGTATATCCGTATAGCCCGTATTAACTAATACATAATATATATGAAAATGCAACTATGATAGCACAACTAGACGAAAATACAAATCCCATCCCCATTAAGAGAGGAGTGATACAAGGAGACGTAATATCGCCAAAGCTTTTCAACCTAGACCTAGAAGACGTCTTCAAAACTACAAATTGGTCAACCTATGGCATTAACGTTAATGGCAACAAGTTAAACCACCTCAGATTCGCTGACGACATAGTGATTATAACGAGCACATTCGAGGAACTGCAAATTATGTTGGGGGAACTAGCAGCCAGCTCCCAATACGTCGGCCTAAAAATAATTATGAAAAAACAAAAATAATGACAAACACAGATGACCACAGACATATAACTATAAACGGCAGTGAGATAGAACAAATCCAGGAATATATCTACCTAGGCCAAATCCTGAGACTTGACAAAGACAACCAAAGTGCAGAAATTACTAGAAGAGCAAGACTAGCATGGGCAGGATTTGGAAAACTTAGTTGGATACTTAAGAACCGCAAAATACCCCAATACTTGAGGAGCAAAGTGTTCAACCAATGCATCCTTCCTATCATGACATATGGATGTCAAACCTGGACCCTAACCAAGGCAAACATGAATAAACTAGCCACAACAGAAAGAACAATGGAAAGAGCAATGTTAGGTATACGACTGTCAGATAAAAAGAGGAACGACTGGGTAAGATCCAAAACAAAAGTCGAGGACATAACAACAAAAATTGCCAAACTTAAATGGAGCTTCGCGGGCCACACTGCTAGACAGAAAGACCAACGTTGGAATACTACAATACAACATTGGAGACCTTACGAAAGTAAACGACCAGAGAAGACCACAGATGAGATGGGTTGATGACATTAAAAGAATAGCCGGAACAAATTGGAAATATGTTGCTCAGGATAGAGACCGATGGAAGGAGTTGGGAGAGGCCTATGTCCAAACATGGACGACAGAAGTCTAAGAAGAAGACAAGAAGAGCTTTTATAAAAGATACAAATGGATCTAATATTCTACAGTTTGATGAAATAAATGTCTAGCTACCTTATTATTATGTTCTCTTCGATATTCGGCAAGAATTGTTATTAAATTTGCATCATGTTTAAAACTGATATAAATTCGGACTTTGCTTAATATAAAAAATGTCATTCTCTCTCTTTTTCTCCAATGGAGCTAAAGCCCAAATCGAGCCTTGGTCTCCCCAAATTATGCCTCCAACCTTGCAGTTCCCGCGCCGATCTTCTCCAGGTTCGCGTCCGTTTTCACTTCATCCTCCCAGCTTTTTCGTGTTCTTCCTTTTGGTCTTGTGTTTTACATTTTACTATCTAGAGCTCTTTTTGGCAATCTTTCGGCCTTCATTCTCATTATATGACTAGCCCACTGAAGTCTCTAAAGTTTAACGAATTCTTAGATCGGTGCATCTTTCAACAGTCGGTGAGTTTATGGTTTTACCTGGATCTCCATACTCCGTTTTGGTTAATAGATCCGAATATCTTCCTTAGGACTTTCAGCTTTCGGACAGTTATTTCTTTGTTACAAATTTGATCGGAAATATTTGGTAGCGATAAAGTATAGTCTTGTTCTTTTTTTTCTTGATGATAATTGTTACCATTCATTTTTTTATCGCATAAACAGTTACCAGATCCAAAAAAAATATTGGTGCATTAGAAATAGAACCTAGCTTTGCCAGCCAATCCTATAATAGAACACACAATGTTTCGCATAACCATTATGTACAATGGATATGCGTTATGTAGCAGACTAGAGAAAGTAACAGACTTTCCAACGCCAAAAACTGAAAAAAGTTAGCTAAGCGAGATAACCCCACTACAGAAATCAGATAAGCGAAGAGGCCCAATGATGGCAGCCCTTTCTCTTGAATATTCGACTTACAAACTAATATTCTGTACTATATAAATTCAAAAATACTCATAATTTTTACAACAAACGATCGGACGCAACTATCCAAAGGCCGACATGGTTCACAATTTTTACCTAAACCAACACAATCAATACCCAATGTACTAGCTTAGAAGAGAGCAGAAAAGACAATAAAAGAACAGTAGGCAAAAGGTCTACTACTGGAGATATAATATTAAAAGAAAAATTTGAAAAAATAACAAAATTGGTTATTAAGAAAACTAATGAAGCATGACTTTGGGCACCAGATGATGACAAAAAGTAACAAACAATGAAACGAGCTCAGTCTATTATAAAAGTACATATATACATACATAATCGTTTCTCTTCTACTTTTAGGTGTTGAGGGAGGTGATTTATCTTTTTTTATGAATTTTCTCCATGCTTTTCTGTTTTTCCGCCAATCGTGTTGGTTCTTGCCAAGATTTGGCCTTATTTTGTAATATCTCTGCTATGTCACTGTTCCTCTCTTTTGTTGGTCTGTCTCTTCGGTTTTTTCTATTGGTTTAGCTTCCCACACTCTTTTCACTTATCTGCTATTGTCCATTTATTGTATTAAGTTAAGGTGTAATTTTAAGTGTATTTCTTATTTCTTCATTTTCGAGTCTTTTACCTTTTACGTTCTTTACAGACGTCCGTCTTTTACCTACCGTTTTTCTGAGGCATTTCATCTCTGCTGCTTGCATTCTATTTTGGTGTCCTGTTTAAGATCCAGTTTCTGCTTCGTATGTCAGCGTTGGACTATATATTGTTTTATATTGTCATCTTCATTTTCTCTAATAGTTCTTTGTTTTTGAGAAATCTTCTATTTAGAGCCTGAATAGTTTTCCTGTACCCTCTAGTCTGTTGTTGAGATGGTCCTCGATACTTTGTTTGTTATTAATTACTGTTCCCAGGTATTTGTATATGTTTGCTTTATTTTTTGTTGATTTATCACCACGTCCATTTGACCATCCGTGTCTTTTTTTCTAGTTATTTTTATTACCTGTGTCTTCTCTTTATGTAGATTTAGGTTGTATTTTTTTGCTTCTGAGTTTTATTTTTCTAAATTGTTCTTCAGTTTTGTTTGCTGTTTCAGCAAATAATACTATGTCATCTGCATTTATCATTTGCATTCTATTCCATCCTTTACAGTATTTTTTTTTAATTCTTTCACTATCTCATCTGCTATAATTATAAAATTACTGGGCTTAAAAGTACCTCATTGTCTAACTCTGCGTTATTTTAAATGCTTGCGATTGCGTATTGATAAGGTCGTATATATGGAGCACAAGTACAATTCGTCGAACATTCTGTGTATGAATCGGCATCATTAGGATCTTATAACGTTATTTCCGCATATTCCCTACTTCATCAGAGATCCGGGAAGTCACAAAACAAAAGCTGGAAGTCTTTGAAAGAAAAGTCTTAAGAAAGATATTTGGACCTATTAACGAAAACGGAGGATGGTGATCCAGGTACAACCATGAACTTTGATGGACGAGAGTCACCGATCTCAAAATTCGTGAAACTTTAGAAACTTCGATGGGCTAGTCATGTAGTGAGAATGGAGACTGAAAGACTGTCAAAAAGAGCCCTGGATAGTAAAATGAAAGGAGGAAGACAAAAAAAAAGGAAACGGAAAAGGTGGGAGAAGTGAAAGAGCAGTGGCAGTGAAATGTCAGGTTGGAGGTATAGTTTGGAGACCAAGGCTCGGTTTGGGATGTAGCGCCATTGGAGAGAGAAAGAGAGAGAGAGAGAGAGAGATTAATTGGATAACACGGAGTAACAACACGATATCATCTTGCATTTATATATTAATAGTAATTTCAAAAAAATAAAACAATTAATAAAACTGAAAACACCAGTTCGGGCAATTTTGCTTTTAAGATTTATGCGTAAATTTTACAATTTTGTTAATTATAAGATTAACAGCAATATGTGTAGGTACAACGTAAGTGCAATCTATATACCAGAAACTTACTGTAAATTCTCTTGGTAGTGCAGCCAGGTTCTGTAACAGAATTAAAACATTGTGATATTTACAATGGAGCGGTTTTATAACGCTCAAAAATGATTTTATGTACATATTTACAAAATGGCCTAAAACACATGTTACCTATTCTGTTAAAATTAAATAAAAAATAAATTCTATTTATAAGACTGAGTATTAAAATTTCTTTGAATCTAGAACTCGAAAATATATATACTTATTTTTACCCACGACCTTCAGATACAATAATTTCCTGTATGCATAAGTATGGAAATTGTAAGTATTATTACACATATAGTCTTTTCCGTATACTGCTGAACGTAGACCTCCTCTCACCCTTTTCCCACTGCCGAATTTTTGTATTTCATATATATTTTTTTTGCATTTCTAATATGAAACACACTGAATATATTTAAATGTTTTTACAAAATTGTATCGAAGAGGTAATTACAAATTAAGTCATCAATATTTCATCTATAAGCTGTCGCCTGAGACAAGTGTTTTTTCACCAGAACTATTCGCCATACTTAAATCTCTAAACTATATTCTAGAAAGAAAACTTCCGGAATCTCGTATAATAGCCGATTATCTTCGCTATTTGACATTAATTTCTCAGTTTTATCTATCTCATCCAACATTACAGTAGATTAAATCAATTTTATACCGTATATACCAATCCGGCATATCTATGTTTCGTGGACCTTACAAAGGCATTTGACCGGGTCAAATTAAAAGACGTTATCCACTTATTGTATACAAGAGAGATACCTCTATTATTAATCAAAACGATCGAAAATATCTATCAAAACAACATAATAAAAGTAAAAGTAGAAGAAGAACTAACCGACCCTATTGAAGTTGCCAATGGGATAAGACAGGGAGATTTCCTGAGTCCTCTATTGTTCAACCTGATTATGGATGAAATAATAAAAAAAGTAAGAACTAAAAAGGATACCAAATGGTAGAAAAACAACTTAAAATAATCTGCTATGCAGACGACGCAATACTACTCTCTCAAAGTGAAGATGATTTACAACGTATGCTGCACCAATTTAATATAACCGCCAGAAAATTTAACACGTTAATTTCCCCAAAACCATCAACCTATCGAGCAGGCTGGATTCAGAAAACATTTTAATACCATAGACCACTTGCACACCGTAAGAACACTGATAGAAAAATGCACCGAGTATAATGTTCCAATTCATATGGCGTTCGTCGATTTCCATAAAGCATTCGATTCCATCGAATTATGGGCAGTGCTTGAATCTCTAGAAATGCACGCATAGATTCAAGATACACTAACATAATTAAAAACATATATGAAAATGCCACCATGCATATAAAGCTGGACGAAAGCACAAAAACTAATCCCATAAGACTACAACGGGGAGTAAGACAAGGAGACACCATCTCCCAAACTATTTACCCTTGCTCTAGAAGATATTTTTAAGAAACTGGAATGGAACAATAAGGGTATCAACGTCGACGGATCATACTTAAACCACTTGAGATTCGCAGATGACATAGTTTTAATAGCCGATAATATCCAAGAACTAAATGATATGTTACAACAATTAAATGCAGTTTCAGGAGCGGTAGGCTTAAAAATGAACTACAGCAAAACAAAAATACTGAGCCGAGACCAGACAAATATAACAATACAAAATCATACCATAGAAAATGTTGAACATTATGTATATCTAGGTCATGTTATCAAACTAGGAAAACCAAATCAAGATGCTGAAATTAAAAGAAGAACACAACTGGCATGGGGCGCTTTCGGCAAACTAGCACATATCTTGAAAAACACCTCCATTCCTATAAACTTAAAGAAAAAGGTGTATAACACATGCATACTACCTGTTTGTACCTACGGCTTGGAGACAGTAGCACTTACCAAAAAATCTGCCAAAAAATTAGAAACAACGCAAAGAGCAATGGAACGAATCATGCTTGGAATATCACTAAGAGACAAGATTAGAAACACCGAGATAAGACGTAGAACGAAGATTAGGGATATTGTGGAAGAAATTACAAAAATGAAATGGCGCTGGGCAGGTCACGTAGCCCGATATAATGACAACAGGTGGACACGGAGAATTCTAGAATGGAGACCAAGGACGACAACAAGAAGCATGGGAAGACCTCAAAAAAGATGGGTAGATGACATAAGAGCAGTGGCAGGCAAACAGTGGATTAGATTGGCGCAAGATAGAGAAAGATGGAAGCAATTGGGAGAGACCTACATTCAGCAGTGGATGGAAAATGGTTGACGAAGAAGAAAATTTCCCCAAAAAAGACAAAATGCATGGTTGCAACAGCAAATTTACTAGATGTAAATTGGAGCTGAAAGGTCAGATAATAGAACAAGTGATGGAGTTTAAATATCTAGGCATCACATTATCTAGCTATGGAAAGTTCGAAACCGAAGTGGAAGATCAAGTGAATAGAGCAAACAGAGTCGCAGGCTGTCTAAATTTGGATGCACAGGGAAAGAAACGAAAGGCAGAATTTACAAAACAGTCATCAGACCAATAATGACATACGCGGCAGAAACAAGACCTGACACGATGTTAGAAACAGTAGAGATGAAAACACTTACAAAAATTGATGGTAAGACACTATGGGACAGAGCTAGAAGTATAGATATACGACATAGATGCAAGGTGGAGAACATCAAAAACTGGGTAAGAAATAGAATAGTAGAAGAAAAAGGAAAAGGAAGAAGAAAAATATATTCTAGCAAGGTCCGCAATAACCAGTACAGTTACCATCCGCATACAGTAATATACTATCCAATGCATTTAGATTTAAAACCTTACTTTAAAACAAAATTTCACGATCTTTGGCAAAACCAATAGAATAGAAACAAACCCAAATCCGTATAAATAAAATCTTCTGTCCTTTCTGGAACTTCTAGTTTTCAACTAAAGAATTCCTGCTAAAAAGAGAAAATCAATGTGATTTGTTTGTAAAAGTAACATGACAGTCAAGCACATTTGGTTGACGCCCCAAGAAAAGCAGTAGAAAGTACATCACCACCCTTTAAAAACCTAATTTTTACCTATGTAGGGTCATACGTCGCCATGTTACCAATTCCAACGGTAACTTAAACATCCTAATTTGTAATTATATATAATGTAAAACAACTGTAAATTTATAACATTTAAAGGGTTTTGACCCATATATTTTGGTGGCTCATAGCATGTATACCCCGTTTACACTGATGATGGATTTAACTATCCAAAACGTTCTGTAATGTAATTGTGATAGCCCGTGTGGGCATTTTATTATATACCTTTTATAAAGGATTTGAAATATTCTTTTTTCATATTTAGATAATTCCATAAACATAATAAATTGAATAGCTAAAATAAAAATTATCTTGGATATTGATTCATTGAAAGCAAGTAATCATAATTATACTCTTAACTATAAGTTAATAATAGCATAAAGGTGTTAAAGATCTGTTTTACAATATTTTGTTTTTTATTTTAATTTGTAGGTAACATACGTTTTGGATTTTTAATATATGTATTAATAATAACACTAGCAAGCTATATATTATTTACATATTTACACATAAAACTGAATTCTAAAAAGTACCTTGGTACTGGTCATCAATTGATCCCAGTGTCGTTCTCGAATTGCTGGATTTTGTAATTCTCCAACGGCCTTTAACGAAGTAAGAGTATTCTTTACCGTTGCTTCCAAACCGATGTAAGTGTCCCAAGATCTCATTTCTTTGTCTAGCATTTTGACTTCCTTAGCAAACTTTTTACATTCAATGTCCATATTTTCTACATCTATTTTCCGCCAAGGGGTAGTTTTCCAGTCATCTACACATGTATGCACTATATTGATGTAGTCCCAAAGTTGCTATGTATGAGAAAATTAAATAAAATATTAGGTCATGTATCAATGAATTTTATGTTTAGAATATACTGAAATACTATATAATAACAATATAAGCCTTAAAAGGTTATTTGTCTCCTTACATCTTTATATCTATGCCTTATAGTATAAACATTAATAGACAGAAGAAAGTTTACGCGTTGTGAATATTGGTAACAAAATTGATTTAAATTATTATTAAATATTGAGATCTACTCAAGGCAATCCAACTAAAAGCAATAAGAATATTTATAAAAAACTCTCGGATCAATGAAACGGTAACTGAACATTGTTGTTTAAGAAAATATCTATACAAACTAGGTGAGGTGCAGCAGCAAACCATGGTGCAGAAATGCGAAATGAAAGAATACACTGCCTAACATATCCTATACCATTGCAATATGCTGAATGATATGAGGCAGGAATTCATTGGTCAATTGAGGTTTGAACCAGAAGAGGTCCTAAAACAACCAATAAGGAAACTGTTGGCCTTTGTCGAGGCCACATGAGCATTAGAGTTTAATGGAAAAAACAAGGTATGGTACAAAGGCCTTACGACCAAGTGCCAGAGATTTTCAGAACTAAGAAGAAGAAAATTATCTAATATAATGTAAGAACGGCATACCAGCAAAATTAATCTCTCTCTCTCTCTCTCTCTCTCTCTCTCTCTCTAGTTCCACTCCTTCTTGTGAGTATTGGGCGCTTATGCGTTTCATCAGCCAAAAGTGAAAGATTGGTAATTGGCCTGGTCAGCGCATCTTCTTTCTTGTTTATTCTCTGGATAAACTGTGTATCACTTCCTTTTATTCTGTTCTATTTCTTGCTCTGTTTTTAATTTCACCCCATCTTAGTCAAATTTTTCTTGTTCTCTCGTTGTAGTTATTTTCCAGCTGTTGTTTCGTCTTCTTCTCTTTCTTTTTACCTCTGGTTGGTATTCAAGTGCTTGTTTGGGTATGCTGCTTTCATCTTTCCTCAAAGTATGGCCAATCCATTTCCAATTTTTTCCTAACTGTAGTATATATAATATGTTAGTTCGCTTTGTCCTTTCCCATAGTTTTGTATTAGTTATTCTGTTGGGTCAGTATATTTTCAGGATTTTTCTTGAAGATTTTTTACAAAAGTTTGCCTTTTTGTTGTAGTTTCGTCCTGTTTCCATATTTCTCCTCCGTAAAGTAGTATACTTCTGATATTTCGTTTGCTAGATTTTATTTAAAGCGTTGAATGCATGTTGAGCCTTTATTATTCTCGTATGTTTATCCTTTTTACACCCCCGTTCCTTATAATGACTGATCCTAAATATTTGAACTGTCTACCTCTTCTACTTCCTTACTATTTATCATTATTTTATTATCTAAGTGGTTAATATTTTTTAAGAGTTAGGTTTCCTCTGTGTTTATTCGGAGTCCAATCGTGTCTGAGTACTGTATCAGTTTGTCAATTTTTGTTTGCATATGACTTCGATGTTTATGTATAGTAGGCAGATGTCAACTGCAATTCAAGATTTTCTATCTGATTGAATAGGTTCCATCTGATGCCTGTTGGATCGTCAGTTACTTTTCTTATAATAAAATCTATCATAATCAAGAATAGGGTAGGGATTGTTTGACTCCTGTTTATATGGCTATTTCCTCTGTTACTTTACTTGAGTGTTCCAGTTTGGATGTGGATCCTTCGTAGTAGAGTTTAATAAAGTTTATAATTTTTAGTGATATTCCAGGAATTTTCCTATCTGTACCCTGTTAATACGGTCGAAGGTCTTTTCAAAGTCGACTGAAAAATTCGATAAAATTATAAAGAAATATACGAACAATATAGATACCCAACACTATCTTTATACACTGGGATGTAGCGATTACGGTGGGCAGGACACGTGATCCGGATGCATTAGAACAAAATCCCCAGAATATTACTAAACGTAAGAATGCAAGGAACAAGGTCTGTTGAAGACCAAAAAAGATAGAATGATGAGTAAATACGGATGCCAAAAACCTCCTAAAAATACGTTCATGGAAAATAACAGCGGTACATCGAGATCCTTGGAGAAGCTTATTAAAGAAGGTCAAGGCTCGGCTTGGGCTATAGTGCCATTGGATGGATAATGGATGGAAAAAAGTACGAAATAAATCTGTAAAGAAGATTCAAGAATGTATTAAGAATTATTAATATCTTATTTTATTAAAATAGTAAAAAGTGGATTTAAAGTTAATTAGAAAACATTGTTATTTCTTTATTTACAATGAATACTGCGCACAAAATCCTAGAATATCTTCTAATTGAAAACACTATTAAAATATAAATGATAAAAACAGAGATAGTACTACATTAATGAAATAGAAGGGGAAATATAAATAATAAATCAGGGTTTAATGATATGTCAATACCACAGTTTTTCTACCTCCACTTTTGGATTTTGTAATACTACTTTATCAATTAATTTATTATATAACTGTTATACTTATTAAAAATACAATACTATTGATTAAATTATTGTTATGCTAATTTTAATTAGGACTGACCAGTCGCTAGTAAAAAATAAATCAGAAAGTTTGTAAAGCTATAAATATTTTAGTTACCTTTAACAATCGTAAATCTCTACGGCACTGTTTCAATATCTTGAACTCGGGAACATTTACTTCAAATAACGATCCAGAATCTTGTATATCTTTCATATTCTTCTCAAATTTCTTTAAATCTCTATCGACATGGTCAATAAGACCATAAGCATCGGCACAATTGTATTGGAAAAATTGATATTTTTTAAAAACTTCCCTGTAATACGTAACTCTGTTATCAAAGTCTATTATACGCTTCCTAATAAACGCAACTTCTGCTGCTTGTAAGGGTGCAACTTGCTGCTTAACCGTGATAGCTATCTTTTTGGTATTGTTCCATTGTTCTGGCAACTCTTGCAAATAAACATTCACTTCTTCCGGAATATCCTGATCGTAGAATTTTAGTAGCTCTATTATATCTCTTTGAGGACCAAACATTTCATCGGTTGTTACTTGTCGCTCTTTTACATGTAAAAGGAAACCCATAACGTTGACCAAAGCTTGGTAGTCGCCTTCAGATACAGTTTGTTGGAGTCCTTCATCAGCCAACCTAGCAAAAATATTGTCATAGAAAAAAGTCAATAAATTTGTTTAAAATCAATACAATTTGATACAAACCATGAAAAAATGTTAACGTAATGTAAAACATAGATATAGAGAAACCCAGAAATTTACTAAAGAGATATGATGTTACCAATTAAAAATAGGTATGTCGTTTGATATGACTTACAAATAAGGAGTTACCTACTAAAAGAACATTTTTCAAATGCAAACAAGTCAGCATCGAAGAGAACAAACACCTTTAGTTGATGAATAGATTATATTACAATGCCACAAGTAGCTTCAGAAAAATATAAAATAGACATTAGACATACTACTAGCCTATCACCATTTGTTATGCAGAGGTTTATTTGTAGTTAGCACCCAAAGTGCTAGACAATGGATATACTTGATTACATTACTTTGGGGTCAAATTAATTTATTCGATAAATTGAATATTTAGGTTAATAAATTTTTTACTTTTTTTCTAGTCAAATTCATATTTCTTTGTCGAATTTTGCCGGTGATATTCAAGCATAAGCTTGTACATTTAGCTGAGTAAGGTTCACGGCTCTGTAAAATTACAAATTTTTATTTATATCTTTATGGTCTATTATTAAATGAAACGACAAAAAGAATTCTCCTTTCGAGAAGAAGTCTGCACCATTTGGTCAGACGGTGATAACTGCATTTTTAGTCATTTTGTTTTTATATTACAAAAATAATCAAAACAACATTCGTTATCATCTTGGAGGACGTAGACGCTGCTTAATGCGTGACTAACATAATTTGATTAACAACATTGGTTATTTAATGATATCTTCTTCTTCTTACGGTGCCTATCCGTTCCGGATGTTGGCGATCAACATGGCTATCCTAACTTTGCTTGCTGCTATTCTGAATAGTCCGGTTGTCGATGTATTAAACCACTTTCTTAGGTTTTAAAGCCAAGATATTCTTCTTCTCCCTGGTCCTCTCTTTCCAAATACCTTGCCTGAAGAATGAGTTGCAACAAGCCGTATCTCTGTTCATTCCTCATAACATGGCCAAGATATTCTAGTTTGCGCTCTTTGATGGTGTTAATAATCTCGCATTCCTTGCCTATTCTACGTAGGAGAATGATATTTAATGATATAATGCACATTTTGTTATTTATGTGTGATCAGATTATCATAAAGTATTCGTGTCACGCAATGATCAAAATACATTTTTCATTTTTTATGGTCAGTCAACGATGGTTTTGAGGTTCCTATTTACCTGGAAATTGGTAACGGAATCGCAAGTATAACTTCTTAACCGCATCTGAGCATCGACAACGTCCCTCGGGATACAGGAAATGTTGCACTTGAAGTAGTTCACCGCAATGGGGCCCAGTCAGTACAAAATACAGACATTGATACAAGAAATAAGAGTTTATTACAAAATTCTGATCCATATTCCAGTGACAATTCTGTTCGAGGTAGGACTTGGCGATAACTAAATCGCAAGAGTCGAGTGATACTGATTCGTTAAATGATCCAAACGATAGTGAACCACAAGTAGAATACAAAAACGGAAGCGTGGAGAATGACGGTTTCAGAGAAGTTTATGAAGAGCAAGAACTAATGGAATACGGGCCAGTACAGAATATGTTACACAATCAGGAAAGACAATTTTTAGAAAAACACAGTTTCCTCTCTTACCTTGACGAATGAAGTATAACAATCATATTGAAGATGAAACTAAAACGATGTATTTGGTTGACTATCGATACTTAAAATCTCGGAATGAACAAGTCCAATTTTTAAGTTCTTTGATTGAACTTGCTCCACCAAAGCGTACGCTACAAGTATCACGCCAAAGCAGAACTGTTACAGCAAAATATTTTATCACACAACATTCTTTAAAAGTTGAAGTATGTAGGGCTTGATTCCAAGCCATGTTTGCTGGAGGTAAAGGTTTTCTCAATGGCATTATCAAAAAGAAGAAAAAGTGCTGACACTGCTATTATACAGGGAGGTAAATGAGGTAGGCATACTCCCTGGAGATATTAGATAGTTGGTCAACATATTGCTAGCTTTCCGGTGTACTAGAGTCATTACTCGAGACGTAGAACATCAAGAAAGTATTTGGGTAGCGATCTCAATTTGGAAAAGATGTACAAATTGTACAACAGCAATGGAATACCTGTAAGTTTCAGTATATGTATACCGAAAATGTTTTTTAGAATTTGGTCTGAAATTCAAAAAGCCTTATAATGATACTTATAAATCTTGTGATACTTACCTGTCTAAAATTAAACATAAGACCGATGAAAATGAAATGTGGAGGTTGCAGTCGGAATATGATATTATTAAAGAAAAGGCCGAATATTATTACAAATGTAAGACAGATGATAACATTAGATTACGCAATTTTGAAGAAAAAGTACTGATGGTCGTATCTGATCTTCAGCAATGTCTTGCTACACCGTTCTTAAATATAAGAGTATCAGTTTTTACAAACGTAAATTATGAACATATAATTTCCGAGTAAAGAATTGCATTTCGAACACCACAAGGTGCTTTATGTGCCATGAAGGTAATGGTCAACGTGGTGCTAATGAAATTACTTTATGTTTACTGAAGTTTATTAAGGATATACCCAACGAGGGTAATCGTATCATATTTTATTCCGATACATGCCCAGGCCAAAATCGTAATAATATTATTCCATTCGTCTTTGCTTACGTATTTAATATTAAACCTTTTGTAACAACAATCGATCACAAATATTTGTTTCCAGGATATACGCATTTAGAATGCGACTCATACCATGCCAATATAGAGAGAAAGAAGAAACGGTTCAATGGTGTTATTAGTGTGCCTCTCGACTGGTATAATTAGGTGAGAATGAGTAGTCAGAAATAAATATAAGGTATAAATATATAAAATCTTTTCATTTATGCATGAAATGAAAACTGAAGATTTCTTCTCTTTTTCAAATTTGTTGAAACCTAGTTTGTTCGTGAGAAAAACGAAAGATGAAGGTAATGAAAGCGTTTCCTGGAACCAAATATTTTGGATACAAATAGACAAATACTCCTTTGGAAAACTATTTTATAAGCCCAGTTTAATTGAAGATGAACAGTTTAAAATTATTTATCTTAGAAAAGAGGAAAAAGGAATAACTACGACTCGTCAAACATTATTGTTTCTCTTGCCTATGAAAAACAGCAAATTCAAAGCCAAGAAAAATATAAGGACATTACCTTTATATTTTTAATAGGCAATAGATAAGTCTATTACCTTTCATAGACCCACTTTATCATCCGTTTTATAAAAACCTACCGCATTCAATGCGTTGCGCATGCGCATTCAATGCGCATTTAATTAAAAAAATTAAGAACGTCGTTGTCAGCAATAGCGACGAAAACAAGATAGTTTTATATATATATTGCCATTTTCTGTGCGAAATATTTTAATAAATAAATATTTTTGTCGTATTTAAGTGTTATTAACTATAAAAAGTCAAATAATTCCAACATACGAAGATAATAAGTAATATCCTTTAACAATAATCCTTTGGTCAAAACATTGGCATTTTTTCAAATATTTCAAACTCTTATTCAGCAATTTAGGGATCATAAATTAAATTATCATAACATATCACATCAACTACTATAATATATATCCTGAAAATTGCTAATTCATAGGTAAAACCTTAAACACAAAGTCACTTAAACGGTTTTTTTTGCTCTTCTGTGAAGTAGTGAAAATGCATAATAACATCTGATCAAATAGTACAGAAGTATTTTCTGCGAGTGACGATGACGTTTTGCTTATTGTGAGATAATATTCACCCTTGAATTCGGAGGCTCTAAAGGGAACCAGAAAACGCCTACAAAAAAAATTAAGATCTCTCAGAGTCCAAAGAAGAAAAATTTATTATTGTTCAAAGCAAATCTAAGGAGTGTTTTATAAAAGAGTTGCATTTCCGAGGAATCTACAATCAAGTGACACATAAATTTGAAAAATAATATCAGCAAATAACGTTGACGAAGATATTTTTTGATGTTTTGCTATTTTTTATCCTGCTTTACCATTTAGAAGTTATTTATATTACACAAACAGTAGTTTTTACAACTAATTTTATATTGGAATTTTGTGGTAAGTTTATTTTATTTTGCTATTAATTTACATACAAAGTTAACCTCATTCACACAGTAAAGAAATGATTTTGTTTAAATTTGCGTAAAATGAAAGAAGCGATAAAAAGAAAATATTTTATTGAATTTTTTGGGTTATGACTGGAAAAACTCTTATCTCACAAGCATAAGAACCCGTATTAAATTTAATCGAGTACTTTGAACTAGAAAAAAGAAATAGGGGGCCATTGGAACCGTTCTCATCTGTTCAATAGGTACGAAAATTACAATTTTCAAATGTTCACTAATATAAAGCTTTAATGATGGCAAGCATATACATCATTAATATTATTTACTTGCCAGCTTTATTACCTACATATTAAAATATTTATAATTAGGAACTTTTTATTTTTGATTTTAACCCCCTCTGTTGCTCATTGGTAAGAGCGCCTACCTTTAAACCTAAAGGTCGTGAGTTCGAATCTCATCTGGGTGGAGAAATTTTCGTTTATTAAAAATTAATGAATGAAAATAATTTCTATCCTTGTGCGATCGGTACTCACCGGAGGGACCGCAGACGTTCGGATACAATTAGCGTCTCTTAGCAAAGACAATGACGTCGACTTTGCTAAGTATCAAGACAATTACTCTACCACACACACACACACACACACACACACACACACACACACACACACACACTACACTAGGTACCTGACTGTACCATGCCAATGATCTTAGTTGTCGAGGCATTAACTCATAAAATAAAATATTTTTGATTTTTTTTTCACCTGCAATTAAAAATATTGATAATATTTTAACTTTGATTTACAGAGTAGCAGCTGCACTTAAATTAACGAGAAAAACAGTATAGAATATACGAAAAAAAAAAAAAATTTCTGTTGTATCTTCCGGAAAAAGCAGAGAAAACTCGTTTAAAAACGAAAGCTACTGATTTACCTGAGGGCAATAAAATGAATACGAAATGAATTCGAAATACAATATATAATATATACCATGATAGTAAGTAAACCAACTTTCCGTTAAGAATTACAAACAGGACTTAATATATTATAGCAATATATTAAAATAAATAACTTTTTAGAGAAACATGTAACTCGTGAAGCTTTGATCAATGAGCTGCAGACTAAAGAAATTATTTCTACAAGTAAAACATCCTTGAGTGAAATATTAAAAGAACTTTGATAATATACAAGGCAAATATCGAGCACAGTATTAATTTAATCTTGCCCAAGTACTTTCGATCACTAGATCATCTTCAGGGGCATTTCGTCAATTGCGGCCTATCCGACAAGAGTAGAATGTCATAAATATAAAATGGGACATCACAATACACTACACAAAGACAAACAAACACTTTAAAATTTTTGAAGATAGGTGAAGCTACATGGTGTATAGAAGCCGGAGACAGAATGTCTCATTCTGTAATACACAAAGACAAACAAACACTTTAAAATTTTTGAAGATAGGTGAAGCTACATGGTGTATAGAAGCCGGAGACAGAATGTCTCATTCTGTACTACACAAAGACAAACAAACACTTCAAAATTTTTAAAGATAGGTGAAGCTACATGGTGTATAGAAGCCGGAGACAGAATGTCTTATTCTGTATTACACAAAGACAAACAAACACTTTAAAATTTTTGAAGCTAGGTGAAGCTACATGGTGTATAGAAGCCGGAAACAGAATGTCTCATTCTGTACTACACAAAGACAAACAAACTCTTTAAAATTTTTGAAGATAGGTGAAGCTACATGGTGTATAGAAGCCGGAGACAGAATGTCTCATTCTGTACTACACAAAGACAAACAAACACTTTAAAATTTTTGAAGATACGTGAAGCTACATGGTGTATAGAAGCCGGAGACAGACTGTCTTATTCTGTATTACACAAAGACAAACAAACACTTTAAAATTTCTGAAGATAGGTGAAGCTACATGGTGTATAGAAGCCGGAAACAGAATGTCTCATTCTGTACTACACAAAGACAAACAAACACTTTAAAATTTTTGAAGATAGGTGAAGCTACATGGTGTATAGAAGCCGGAGACAGAATTCTCATTCTGTACTACACAAAGACAAACAAACACTTTAAAATTTTTGAAGATAGGTGAAGCTACATGGTGTATAGAAGCCGGAGACAGAATTCTCATTCTGTACTACACAAAGACAAACAAACAGTATAAAATTTTTGAAGATAGGTGAAGCTACATGGTGTATAGAAGCCGGAGACAGAATGTCTCATTCTGTACTACACAAAGACAAACAAACAACACTTTAAAATTTTTGAAAATAGGTGAAGCTACATGGTGTATAGAAGCCGGTGACAGAATGTCTCATTCTGTACTACACCGGGACAAACAAAAACTTTAAAATTTTTGAAAATAGGTGAAGCTACATGGTGTATAGAAGCCGGTGACAGAATGTCTCATTCTGTACTATACAAAGATAAACAAACACTTTAAAATTTTTGAAGATAGGTGAAGCTACATGGTGTATAGAAGCCGGAGACAGAATGTCTCATTCTGTACTACACAAAGACAAACAAACACTTTAAAATTTTTGAAAATAGGTGAAGCTACATGGTGTATAGAAGCCGGTGACAGAATGTCTCATTCTGTACTACACCGGGACAAACAAAAACTTCTGTCTCCGGCTTCTATACACCATGTAGCTTCACCTATCTTCAAAAATTTTAAAGTGTTTGTTTGTCTTTGTGTAGTACAGAATGAGACATTCTGTCTCCGGCTTCTATACACCATGTAGCTTCACCTATCTTCAAAAATTTTAAAGTGTTTGTTTGTCTTTGTGTAGTGTATTGTGATGTCCCATTTTATATTTATGACATTCTACTCTTGTCGGATAGGCCGCAATTGACGAAATGCCCCTGAAGATGATCTAGTGATCGAAAGTACTTGGGCAAGATTAAATTAATACTGTGCTCGATATTTGCCTTGTATATTATCAAAGTTCATTTATTCGAGCATTCAACCTTATATTAAAATATTAAAAGGTTTGGGCTTTGAATTTAAAAAAAGATGATCATCGAATCTTACCTAATAAAATTACTTAAGTCACATAAACTCGTAGTAACTGTAGTAACTAAGTGATCTTTAAACATATTACCCCATTTCCTTATGGTATTAAGTAATGCTTGCTTAAAGGGTCGTACATCCACTTTAAACCAATTATTAAATATTTCTGCCTCCTTAATAGTTTCGACTTGATTTGATAAATTTTCAAAATTATCGATTTGTTCCCTAAAATGCTCCATTTTTGGAGGTGAAGGTTTAGGAGCCAGAGGATCATTCATACCTAGGTAATCTAATTCTTCATTATTTAGTTGTCTTCCATAAGTTAAAAATTGGTCTAGATATTGCTCTCTGTCATCTAACCATAGATAAGAATAAGTTTGATAGTTATCGCAAAATTCATAGCTTTCTTCTATAACCTTATCAATATTGGACAGGATATCATTTTTAATGTCGACTATATCTTGATTTGCTTCTATTTCTTCTTTATAGGATACTGTTTTTATTTTTGAAAATCTTTTTACTATAGCTGACGTTTCGACTGCATCATTTATAAGTCCCGTAATTAAACTTTTCAAACCTTCAGGATCAGATGAATCCAAAGAAGGAATAAATACTATGTCCGGTTCCATAAGTTTTAACTGTGACTCAAATAGTGGGGGTAAATTATTACCAGGATCCATATGCTCAATTATGTAGCCCAAACTGAAACAAGAATAATATATAAAATAAATTTAACAGTTTTAGTTCATTTATTGATATTTTTAAATATCACAAGATATTATTAAGCCTAGGAAGAAAGTAAATTGTTCATTAATTATACTTAACTATACAGTACTCAACTTGCTCAAATATAAATTAAAATAAATATTAAGCTGTGTAAAAAATTAGGGCAGTAAGTATTTTCGTCGGCATTATTCTCATACCTCGTATGGGATAAAGTATAGTTTTCAGGAGAGACAAAAAACGTTTTCAATATGTTGTCACATAATTATATTAAAATGTGTCCACTAGTTTATCTAGTAAAGATACAGCAGAACGACTACAGTGCACAAATTATTTATTTTAAAGGTCACATTCCAGAATAAGACAGAAAAGTTTAATATACGAGATTTGGTTTTTACGAATGACTTATCCATACAAGTTTAGGGAATACTGATTATAACAAATAATATTATTAGTTTTGTATATTGTTCTTAAACTAAAACAAAAATACATTAAACAAGAAATGAAATACTTTAAATTTTTATAAAAATCATGATAATCGACTTTTATGACTTTGGTCAGTTCCTGCAGGTGGTCATGTTGTCTTTAGTGATACTAGAAGCTGTAGAGTATAAACGATCGGTTTTTTTCGTGGAAAATTTTTAAAGTTCTGCGAAAAAGTGGTTTTCAATCATCAGTGATTGTCAATTTGTATTCAATGAGAACATCGGTTCCATTGTATTTTAAGGCTCTCAGATCTGTAACAACAAGATCATCTACTTTTTTGCTGAGCGAATAGAATTAAAGTATTTTAAATTGGAGTAATCTTTAAAAAATGCATGCTTCACATAAATGACATTATAATACATAGGATTTTTTCGCGCGGTTTCTATAATACTTACCTATTCAGGTAGAACACTTATAACTCTGCGTTAGGTTTTCACGGCCATCGTCTAACTTGTTAAACTGTTTGTTCGGGCTGTTGTCTTCTGAGATTAGTTCTCGACGTTTCGCCAACACTAGGGGTTGGCATCTTCTGGAGATGTCACTGCTTCGCTTGTAAGCTGAAACTGACGCCGCGTTGTCCTACGGAGGCCCTATTTATATTTTCCACTCGCCTCCCCTCCACTGGTTTCGGCGTGAGGGGGTGTGTCGTCATTTGTAGTAGCTTTTCTTTCTTCGTGTTTGCGGAAAGGATATTTGTGAATTTAACAAAACATGGATACCAATATTAAAATCCACAGATTTTAAGAAGAAAGAAAAGCTACTACAAACGACGTATTTTTTCTCTCAATCACACTTTGAGCTGAGTCGCTAGTCATTTGTGTATAACCTTCTAAAATTTTTTAAATAATATTTTTAAGACTGAACAGTGTAGCGTAATGCATTTGCGAGAATAGAGTTCCTATGTTGATATGTACAGCCATAGCTCCACAATACTATCTCCTTTGTTTCCTCCTTGCAATTTTTTTCTATGTAGTCTACAATACATGTTGCAAATTCACTTGACGTAACGTTTCCCTTAGAGTATTATAACATTATTAAAGATAGTAAAATTATAGACAATCAATTTTTTCTTATAGTAAATAGCCGACGCTTTTAATAGAGTTCATAGAACAGCTTCTAGGTCCACCACTACTACCAGACTATCTAATTTTGCTCTCTCTGCATTTTACTCCTTGCTTGCTGTTTCTTCTCTTGGTGTTCTAACCATTTTTCTTCACTTAGATTCTTGATATCGTGCATACAATATAGATCAGATTACGTAACATTGTGTTATTTGTTTTTAAGTGATATTTTAACCTAACGGACTTTTTATAAGATGCAGTGTCTATATTCTTCTAGTAATTGGTACAACTACATCTATTAATTATGAAATAAAAACTTTTCTTTGACTCCAATATAAATCTTACTAAAAATGGTTGAATATTTTTAAACGAAGATTTTGATTAAAATTATTATAGTGGCTATTTTTTGCCTGAATATACGAAGTACTATTATAGTGCACATTGCACCAAGCTGTGTGTTCTTTTTCAAAACTGGAACAATTTTTCCTTCGCTTACTTCTCGAGTTGATATTCCTCTCCTCTATGTCGTTTATATATATATATTGATATTTTTTGCCATAATGGTGGATTGTCTTGGCTTTTTAATGCGTGTTTGCGTTTTCATATAGGTTCGTTAAATTCAGATATATTATTTATAAGAGTATTTTCTGTTTCTTCGGAGTCAGTAGTAATTTCATTCGTAGAATCTTCATTGGAACTACAACTATCGCTATTTGTCGGAAGTTTGTACAGTTTATTTGCCGCACCATTAACATAGATTTTAGACGTTACAGGTTTGTCGCTGTCATTACTGTCATCAGTTTCAAGGTTTCTATATTGATTTGTCAAACCGTCATTGCTTATTCCAGATGGTGCCAGAAATTAATGAAAATAAATAAGGACAGCTCTAAGATCTGGTTCAATCTTACTTTCACTGGAATTTATCAGTCTCTTCCACACCTGTCCTAACAATAGTTATTACTCCCTTATACGTAGAATCTCTCGACAAACTCTATCATATACTTTCTCAAGGCCAAGCCATATGAGTTTTTTTTATTCTTGTGTTTTTCCATCAGGTGGCTTATAATAAAAACTACACTTGACCTGCTTTGTATAAAACCAAACTCATTTCTGGATATTTCCGTTTCTCCACGTATTCGTCTATCAATTACTCTCTCCCATATTTTCAAACTGTGACTAACCCGTCTCGTAGTTATATAACTTATACAACTTACGTTTTACGTTGTATGCCTTGCTTGTTTTTGTAAACCGGTATTAATATAATGCTTTTTTTTTCAAAATTCTATTAAATAAACTGTTTAGTATTACAAGTCAACAATAAGATTAATGAAGTAAGCGAATATAACTAATGTTAATTTGACAAATTAATGATTTTTGTGTTATTTGGTTTGTTAATAATTTGGATAAAATAAAGCGATTTGTATCTTGTTGTTGTTACATTAAACAGTTCATTCCATGGTCCTTCGGCCTCACGGCATATTAAAGAGAAGCAAACGGTCAATTCAGACAAATAATTTCTGAGCAAAAACGCCATAGAAATCAACAAGCGGAGCAAGCAACAATGAGAGAGTATATTTCTTTTTTTTATCCATTCCTAGATTTATGCAGAAAATCATCTCGATTTTTTGGAGACAAATATAAAATTAAACTTGATCCTAATAATACACTAACACGTTTGATCATTATGCATGAGCAGAAACGTCAATGCATGTTGTCAATGAGACGTAACGTATGTCCTAAAAGTTTTGGTACAAAATATTTTTTGGATTTTTTTTTAATGAAGAAATTTATTTAAATATTAACTGATTATCATAAATTATAACTCAATACTTAACTAAACTATATTATCGCATTATATGGAGTTTCTGCTATTCTGATCTACTAGACGCAAATTTCTTCGAATGTCTTTCATGAGGTCCTGAAAGGAATTCAGATCAATTTCTCTCAGTTTCTCGTAAATTAGACATCTTAATTGTTTTTCATGTTGGGCTTCCCAGCCTTCATGAAAAACCTTCCTAGACATTAAAACCCAAAAATCCTCTATAGGGCGAGCCTGCGGCAAGTTTGCAGAATTATCTTTTTTGGAAACAAAAGGTGTGTGTGGTGTTGTCGAAGCCAGTTTTGGGTGATCTTTAATAATGACATTATGCTTGGTGTGACCAAAACATAATATCGTTTATAAACATAATGTTAATGGACATACTGGAGCAATTTAAAAAGGTAGTTATTACTATAATTCTGACTATTCAAAACTTCATTCCCCACTATTCCCACAAAAGAACGGGAGACACCGCTGTTAGAAATTGCGCACCAGACAAGGATTTTATTTCAGAATTATTCGAGGTAAAATACTTTTCATCATCTAAAATAATATTTCTTTCATTGACAATGACAAGTGGACCCCGCCTCAGTTGACGACAGCTTCTTGGTATACAAAGGAGTTGCGCTTTAGAGTATTTGGGCACATACGTTTAATATATCTACATATTTAAAGCACATATATTTAAGAAAATTCATTCTTAATTCCAACGATATCGTCATCTAAAAATATCTGTATTGATGAGTAAGTCTCCTCGTTGACATTACAACTTGATATTTTGCTCTTTTCGCCAATTTCTCTTATCTCTGTTCAGTAAATGCACGTAGACTTCCACTTTTTGGAAGATTGTAGTATGGTATTCCCTGTTTTGCATTCCGCTATTGTCCTATAAATGGTTCTGTGTGAAATGTTTTCTTTTTGTAACATTTGACAGATTTCCGATTCAAGTACAATAAGCCGGTAATGCTGGCTTTCTTCGGCCAATACTGAGGGCTTTGAGCCGTTATGGTTTTATTTGTGGTTTAACTATTGTTTGAACAGTTTTTAGAGATCAAAAGGACCTTTGGGCCAGTGGTGTTAGTGACAATATAGTTATGATTGAATTCAACGAAATTTTACGTAATAAATCAATAGTAAAGAGTAATTTGGTGCAAAATGGATCATCTTTAATTGCAGTAAGTGTAACTAAACAAGCCCATAATTCGAAATAAGTGTTTTATCATTTGTATACTACAATAGCAGATTAAATAACTTAGCTGATTATTTTCATTATGGTCATTATGAAAAAGAAAACATCTCTCATTATTTTTTTTTCTGCCAATATGCTCAGTTTAATGTAATGTTAATGATTTTTAAAGAAGTAGGTACATACATTCCTTATTTTTTTATATTTCGATAACTAATTTTGTATGTAGATTGTAAGAACTAAAAAACTACTTATCAAGATATAATTATAATGGCTAATGTAAATTTTCAGTTTTAATTTTTTTTATTAGCATATAATATTAAGAACATTTTAAATTATGTTTAACTGATGACTGAGAGAAATTCATATTAAATTTTCTATAAAGATGTATGTCTTTTATTTATTTCTTTTTAGATACATTTAAATGGGCACACACGTGCAAACCCATTCATTATTTTCATTATATTTTCATAGATCACTTTAAATTTAAACGGTTTATATTGTAAATTTAACTATGTATTCTAAAACAAAATTTCCTTACTTATTTTAATTTAATAAATTTATTTTACCTGCAGCCTACTGACTGGTATAAATAACTTTCTACAACAACATCGATATGATCAATATATTGAATCCATTTTTCGTTTTCTTGTTTGTCCGTCATTTGGAACAAATTCATATTTTCTTCTAACAATTGAAGAATTCTATCAGTCGCAACCTTAATATCTGTTTTTCTCTTTTCTAATTTTTCTGTTCTTTCATCTATGGCCAAGAATGTATCCTTCCGACCGTCTTTTCTTTCGAAAAGAGGTTGTCGAGCAAATGGCACAAGAATATTTTTGATCTCGTTTAGGTTGTTTTGACATTTCTGAAGGTGTCCTTGTAGATTTCCCACAAGAGTGTGTAACTTTATCATATATTCCCATAAAGCTAAAATTAATTAAATTTATGTAATAAAATATAAAATATAATTTAAATACAATAGTAGTCATAATAGTAATACAAAAAAGTTACCCGCTTCTATTAGAGTGTTGATCTAGTGAGAGTTCCTTACCGGTCTTAGACTGTTGATCTGAGACAGACTTATTCTGTACATATTGTTATTATAGTTTATTTTTATGAACGAGAGAGTAATTAGCATAATTTTAACTGGTACCTTCGACCACTCCATGGGCGTGCTCAAGATTAATTGAAAAATTACTTTGAATAATTGTAAAAAATAAATGAATTATTTCAGTGTTATAAAGTGTTATGTGTATGTAAACAAAAGTGACCTCTTTTATCACACACTATATTAGAACTGACTGGCCTACATTAAAAAGGGTTTTAAAAAATTCACATTTTTTTTTAATTTTTAAAAATTACAAAAGAGAAAAAGAGTTTTTAAAACCGTCTAAGGTATGTTAAATAGATGAATAAAAATATTAATATAAAACTTACAGCTACTTGTTACAAATCCAAATCAGATTCAGAAGATGAACTTTCAGAACCAAGATTTATAATAACTGGCTCGATCATTTTATCAGTAATATTGTCCAGCTTCCACATTTTTTCCTCTTCTTTAATAGTGTGATTTACTGCCTTTTCCCAGTTTTCAGGTTTTACATTATTTACGGCCTCCAAAAACAACTGTTTAACATCATGAATTTTAAAAGTGGTATTTTTTCTTGAAACTTCACTCTTTATCTGTGCCCATACCAGTTCAATCGGGTTTAATTCACAATGATATGGTGGGGATCTAAGTACTGTCATTCCACGATTTTTGGCAATTTCATCAATTTCGTATTTTTTAAATTTTTCTTTATGAAGGGCACACAACGAATAAAGTTCCTTTCTTATAGATCCGGGATGGTACGTAATATTTTTTGAACTCAGCCAATTCTGCAAGTCTTTTTTTAACCACTTGGTTGTGGGCAGTCCTTCTATAAGTCTGGAGTGATAACTTGCATTATCCATTACTATTACACAGTTCTTAGGAAGAAGATCTATCATTTGTTCGAACCATTCTTGAAAGACATCAGCGTTCATGTCTTCATGGTAGTCACCGGTACGAGTTGATTCAAAAGTTAATAAACCACCTTCAACAAAACCGTCTGAACTGCCAATGTGTACTATTATCAGCCTGCGTCCCTTTCCTGATGGTGGGTTTAAACCAGTAGATAAGTTATTTACAAAAGCGTGCCTTTGACTTGTAACAGTTTCATCCTGCCAAAATTTATTTGGTGTATGACCCTCGTTGATCCATGTTTCATCAAGATAAAATATTTTTCTTTTTGGTTTCTCATTTCCTTATGGTCTTAGAAATGTCTTCTCCATATGACAATATCGCTTCTTTCTAATAAAATAGACTTTCTGGGATTCTTTTTCCAGCGGAAGCCTATTTCTTTTAAAAGTTTCCATAACGTACTTCGACTCATTTCTGGGTAATCCTTATCATCTCGAACTGAGACAAGAACTTTATCCAATGTTGGAAATTCTTGTCTAAAGAAGAATTCATGCACTTTCCGTCGAAGTCCTTCTTTAAAATGATATTCTATTTGAAATTTTGGTTTCCCTGGAGCATTACGTGGCATTTGAAAACTACCACATTTCTCTTCTTTAATAACTCTGTAAATCGTAGATTTCCCAACACCAAGTGTACTGCTAACTAACTCAACGGTCTCATCAACACTTTCACATAAACGTTTGTCTGTAAATGATTTAAAACAATTAAATATTAATGTTTTTTCATTAACTGTTAAAGGACCAATTTTTCGGCGTTTACACGGCACTTCCAAATTTTCCATAACACTAGTATACACAATAAACTGCACCTTGCAACTGAAGTACCTACTTTTAGTGAACTGTTAAGAATTTTGAATACGCCACTTGGACCTTCCTACAAAATGGAAAAACCCACTATCACATTTTCTGTGGAATAAGTTTAGAAGGTAATTATCTAGTCAATTACTGTCGTAGATTCCTGGAATTAAAGAATTAAATGTTTGATTGTTGAAACCCTTACTTCGTGGAATGCACTCATTTCAGATAAAATAAAACGTTTTATTTTATCTAAAGAATTAAACTTTATTTTGCAAATAGGTAGGTACTTATTAAACTTTTATTGGTTATATATAACCAATAAAATAAACATCTTACATTTCTTGCAAATTCATTAGTACCTGTTAACCTCCATCACTCCGACACTGGCAACCTTATTTAGGGATTAGTAACCCTCACAACTATTGTATTCTATTCTGCTCCAACCTTTATACCTGGTGGTCATACTCAATTTAAAATTGTTTTCCTATATACTTCTGTAAACTTGTTGACAAATATCTGTTTTTCATTGAGTCACCCGTATCAACAGTTTAGGGATTTGCATACATAATTTATTGTTTTATTACTCTCTCATACATAAAAATACACTATAGCTATGTATGGTCAGAGGATGAGTATAGCAAGGGCTCTAATCAAGTGGCTTCGGCAATGTATCACAGACTGTCTAATACTGATTTAAAAGATATATAAAGTAAGATTAATGTATGAAGGATGTGGAGGCCCGAACAAGAACCAAATAATTTTATCCATGGCAAGTCGCTGACTCATACAAGCTCCAAAAAAACATAAAATATATTGAAATAGTGTATTATGATTATTGTTTTGGTAAGACACAGTTTTATCTAGACGTATGACAAGGTATTTTGGCGTCTCATTGTGTTTCGAACGTAAACAAATGCCTACAGCATTCCACCTCCAGTGTCCTTCGAGCATGCTTGTTTTTCTCCTTCAAGTTCCATCTTCTATTGAAGAGAGGAAATCATCATAGTTATGAGTATCGTGTTGATGACCGCTCTAAATAAATCTGTGCTACTGCATTCAAACCATTCCCTCAAGTTCTTAACTCAGGATATTTTTTGTTTTTTCACATTTCGATTTCCTCGAATTTTGCGTTTCATAATAGGTTATAATAATAACATACGTTGGAAATTTTGTAAATCCTATATATTCATATGATTCTTCTGTAACACTAAAGTTCAAAGACGGCCAACTTATGAACATGCACTTGTTTTAGTATCCACACTTAAAAGCCATAAGGAAAACTACAGAACACGTATCACCGAAGCATCTTTAGGCGTAGTGCAAACGTTAGATTCCGACAACAAAGACATTTTGTAAGTTTAATAAATGATGCACATGCCATTTAATTACGTGCCTTAATTTCTTTTATTTAGTCCACATTTGACGTGATCCATATTACAAGTATTTGTAGGTATCCACACTCTCAATTAAACTATCTTTAATAATCAATTCGATGTTTGCATCTACTGTTTATGTTTATATTACCATATTTATTACACATCTTGCGATATTACGTTGGTTGAGGATGGGTTTTTATTACAATTTAATGTTAAGTCTTTCAAAACATTTTTTTTGAGTTTAATGCGTAGACAACTAATGGTCATTGGCATGGTACAGTGAATTTTTACAGTCAGGTGTGTAGTGTGTGTGTGTGTGTGTGTGTGTGTGTATGTGTTGTGTGTGTGTGTGTGTGTGTTGTGTGTGTGTGTGTGTGTGTGTGTGTGTGTGTTGTGTGTGTGTGTGTGTGTGTGTGTGTGTGTGTGTGTGTGTGTGTGTGTGTGTGTGGTGTGTGTGGAGTAATTGTCTTGATACTTAGCAAAGTCGACGTCATTGTCTTTGCTAAGAGACGCTAATTGTATCCGAACGTCTGCGGTCCCTCCGGTGAGTACCGATCGCACATTTGTCACTATTTATTATTACAATTGTTCCTAGATTGAAGAGTAACGCAGAAGTGTGTCTGTTTAGGAGAAGATATTTCATCAACCTTGTGAGTCGGAAATCCTTAGAGATTTATAAAGTTTAGCCAGCAGCCGTTGATAATTACCTGTGTCACAGCCAGCAGTTAGGTCTATAAAAGCTACCCCTCTTATTTATTTCCGTTTAAAATCATCTTCAATCATCAGCTTATCAGCTGGTCTTGGAATAACCTTAGTCTCTTAGCAACTCGGTTCAGCATTATTCATTTAAATGCCTTATATATATATATATAATATATATATATATATATATATATTATATATATATATATATATATATATATATATATATATATATATATATATAATGAACCAGAAGTATTTGCTGCATACCCAATATTTAAAGTTTACTTATATATGTATATATATATATATATATATATATATATATATATATATATATATATATATTCGTATGAACTTTACACATTGCAGTTTTTACATAAAGAAAAGGAAGAAAAAAGTGACAATAACAATAATAAATAAGTAAGTAAATAAGTAAACACTGACACAGAACATATAAAATTAAAATTTTTAAAATTAAAGTCGAAGGTTACATCCTCGAAGCCAATTTGTCGCCTTGGGAGTAAGTTGGTGGATTTCTTGAAGGCTGCCAAAGAACTTGGTGGCTGGACACTCGAAGACGATGTGGTTAATTGTTTGTTCAGCGGCGCTGCATTTGTCACATTCCGGGCTGGCATTTATACCCCATTGATTCAGCGATTTGTTACAAATTCCATGACCAACTCGTATTCTATTTAGGTTGCACCATTCACGACGGGGAAGAGAAAAGCCGTCTGGTTTGATTGTGGGGTTTTCTATCAGATTGGAATTTCTGATGTCTGGATTCCATTCGCCCATCCAGTGCTCTTCGGTAGTGAAAACAGCCAATTTTGTAGCAGTTCTAGTAGGTGGATGTCTGGATTTCAGTCTTAACTGCCTTTGGTGTAGTTCAGCGATGTCTGTGTTTATCGGTAGTTCTGGGTTTTGTTGGCATTTTTGAACTAGAGTGTTGAGTGCGGCTAGTCGTCTTGTTGCTGGTGGAGCGATGTTGCTTAAAACTGGAAGCCACTGGGTTGGTGTGGGCTTTATAGTTCCCGTTATGTGCCTCATTGTTTGATTTAACTGGGTATCTATGACTTTTGTGTGATGACTGTTTAGCCAGACAGGAGCGCAATATTCTGCAGTAGGATATACTAAGGACAGCGCGCTCGTTCTTATTACCTCTGCATTCGACCCCCATGATGTATTTGCTAACTTATGGATAATATTATTGCGGGTCTTAATTTTTGCTGAAGTGTTTTCCAAATGCTTTTTGAATGTTAGAGTACGATCTAAATGCCTTAAAAAAATTATACAAAAGAAAGACAGATCCAAAACTTTTTGTATTCGCTGAATCCTTACTTGGTTTTAAGAGAGCCACCACTCTGGCTTTTCTCCAGGTTTTGCAGCAATTCATTATTCGTACAAGCCATAGTTCTTTATTTGTTCTGTTCTTATTACGTCCAGGCTAGCCGGGACGTTTGAGTTGTCGCTACCCGCCCAAAACATCAACCTAAATATTGTTTTTTGAAAATTAAGGCAAATTCGAGCATTCAACCTCATATCAATTATTGTTTTTTAGTTGGTCAATTGGATAGTTTCGTATTTACTTAACGCAAAACCCATGTACATTCACCAAGTAGACTATACTCACTTAAATATTTTAACAATTACACAATATATAAAAATGTTATTAATATTTACCTTCAGATTCCCAATTTAGATTTTCTTCACCTACAGTTATCATTTTGTCAATATCTTTTACTTCGTTTGCAATTAAATTAAATTCTACGTCTTTAGCCGTCTTTTTTATTTTATTGTACCAAGTAACAGTGGAATTAAGATTAGTAATATATTGCTGATACAGTTCATTTTTTTCGTCCAATTTTAAAACCACCTCTGGAATGTCCGGCTCTTGCATGAGTTTCAAATAATGAACTTCTCTTAATATTGCGCTCAACTGAAATTATGTTTTTAAAGTAAATATTTGTACATAAAAATTACTAAACTCACAAAGATATTTGATAAAAATACTCAGTTATCTCATCGAAATACATAGTAAATATTTCGATGACTATAAAAACTATTATTTAATTAAACCAGCAATACACGAGGAATAAGGAATTTACAAACAACAAACACTTTGTTTTATTATGTAACAAAAATTTCATCTGTTTGATCTAATACTAATTTTACTATATTTGGTTTCTTCACGTATCCGATTATCAATTAGTATTTAATCATATATTTATGGTATGTCTAAATACTGCTATAACAACAGTACATTATTCAACATCTGTTATGTTTATGTACACAGGTATTAAGATGCTTATTCAGCGTGAATTTCACTTCCATAATTCTACGAAATTCTCTTACGAAATAACAACAACTAACTCTCATAGTTTTAGGTCTCTCTTGGCACCCACTAGAAGATTGCTTTTCATTTCCCATCCAAAATCTTCAAATACTAATCATACTTATATAAAAAAAACGCTCTGTCTTCCTTGCTAAGATATTCGATCCAATTGGACTTTCACTGTCACTTAAAATTTTAATTCAAAAATTAAGTTGAACTGACCCTCTCCCCGAATCTCTCAATCTTGAATGGAAAAAATTTATTGATGATCTCGTGCTTTTAAAATCTCTCACAATACCCCGCAACCTGTTCAATAGCAAATCTATTATAAAAATAGAAATATACGGAATTTCTTACGCCTAAATAAGCCTTAAGCCGCTGTGATATATTTTCGCATTATTTACAATGATAACACAAAATCAAAATCTGGTTTAGCCCCTCTGAAAGCCATCTATACTTCATCCAATTTACTTACCGTTGCACGTCATCCGCGTCATAACTCGTGAGGTCACATGATACCAACACGAAATATTTAGGCAATAGGTGTGTTCTTTTTTAGAATCACTTTGCCGAGTACACTGGCATTACAGCCACTAAACATATTTTATTATATACGCGTAGAAATATTATTTAAAAATTTCTATTAATATTAACTTAAAGAAATACACAATAATATTGTTACGATAATAAATATTAAACGCGTATAAAAAACCGTAAACATATTTACTCATTCACGAATGTTTCTAGGTCAAATACTACCGAATTCTCCAGAAGGGTCGAATATCAGGTACCAAGAATGCAGCCGGCGCGACCGTCCGAATTTACCAGTAGGCGATCGACTTTTCTAGTCTAGCTGAATGAGTCACCTAATGGATGGAAGGTCATCGATGCATTGCCAGACCCTTCTAGATAACGGCATTTGATATATAAATAACAGGATTTTTATTGAGCAGTTAGTCAAAAACAAGCCCGCGCTCGTGGTTTAAAATTGTATCGCACGTAGATAAATTATATACTTATTAAGTGTAAAATAAATTAGTAGTAACAAAGACTTTGATAAATTTGTGAGTGTTATAAATATTGAACCTTTAGTAAATTAAATTAAAAACAGTAAATTAGAATTAATAAAAACATTATAACATGTTTCATTTAATTTGTATAAATGCATTATAAAGCGTTTTTATGAAGAACATTTGTTCGGAACACACTGTAACTGTAATCGAACGAAGGTGATATTTTGGCATACATTGGTAACACTTATTTGACAGTTGCGGTGTTGACACTTTTTGTACTTTATTATTTTGAATTTTAAAGTGAATACCTCTTGGTTTATATTTTTACCTATTTAATCAAATCTGTTCCTTTTAGAACAAAATTAGTGTGTATTATTAATTACTATTATTATTATTAGACTGTGTAATATTAATTTGTTTTGTTGCATAATCCACTTTTGCAATAATTATGTGACCTATTTGATTTAAAATGGATTCAGGATTTTTTTATACTTTGGCAACTATGTCAACTTCGATCTCTGTCAATGATAATGACGTGCAACGGTAAGTAAATTAGATGAAGTATAGATCCCTAAATTACAACTTTCAGCTAAGTTGCAAAATTGACTCAAAAAATAATTTCTATTTTTGAAAATCAAATTCATTTCTCTTCCGTGAACTTGTGGACTGACTAGCTGGAATCTTTTTGTCGCAAATAGAGTAACTCTAATACAGGACCTGACTTCGAAGTTTTCATGGAGACACGTTCGCTCTTTAGAGGATGCAGCCCATTGCTTATCCCGTGGTTGGACCGTTACTGAATTTTTAAACCCTCACCTGTGGTGGAATGGCCCTGAACTTTTACTTAATGAGGACTTGAAACTTATTAAATTTGATACTAAATCTAACCCATTATCGCTTTCTGAAAAAAATATCCGCTCTCACTACCGCCCTCAATCGGATGCAAATTTTCTTCGCATTCCAAAGTATTGCGCACAATGGCTTACTTCCACAGATTTTCTGTCAATCTAAGGTATTCGACTGATAAAATATTTTGAGTTTTATACTCTGACGAATTACAATCCGCTTCTGTATCAATATTGAAAGCCATTTAAGTCACGAGATTCTCTAACGAACTCCTTAAGATCAAATTAAAGGGGACCACAAAAAAGAAGTCAGTAAAAACTCTGAATCCCTTTCTAAATTCAGAAAGTCTTCTCTGCGTAGGTGGACGTCTAGAAAAAGCTGACATTTCCTATGAACAAAAACATCCATTTATTACCTTCGAATTGTCATAGTGTTAGTTTATTACTTAACATAACATTACATGATCATTATCGCCTGGGCCACGCCGGACCTCAAGCCACGTCATCTAATGTCAGACTCAAGTATTGGTTCTTAAATAGGCTACATATGTTTTAGATTTTACGCTAAGCTATTTGAGCAAATCATGGGAAATCTACCTAAATTTAGAGTTACTCTTCTCGTCCATTTCAAAACGTAGGCTGTATTTCGGTGGACCATTTCTCATTACCGCTTAATCAGTTTAATGAGTCACTTACTGAAACTCTTCCTTAGAATATTACACTCAAGAATGTACAAGATACTAGAAGAACTTAGCGGTCAACACATTCGTTTTAAGGAGGACTAGAACAAGAGAGGCAATTTTATGTTTGAACACCTTAATACAAAACTGCTTAGATCAACGAAAAGATGTTTACCTCACCTTCATCGACTACGAGAAGGCATTTGACAATGTTAAACATGATATCATGATGGAACTACTACATAGGGCCAACATTGACTAGAAGGAGATCAGAATTATTCAGAATCTATACTATTGATCAAGACCAATATACGGATGAATTTGAAATCCGGAAAGGTGCCCGCCAAGGCTGCATACTCTTTCCGATGCTTTTTAATTTTTATGTTGAAAATATATTTGCGGAAGCATTAGAAGACACGGAATTAGGCATTAAGGTGAACGGCATACCAATTAGCAACCTACGCTATGCGGACGACACAGTGATTATAACTGATAATTTGGAAGATCAGCAGTTATTACTTGATAGGGTGAATAGCAAAGGTAAAAAATATGGCCTCAAAATCAACATTTTGAAAACGAAATATATGGTCATTAGCAGAAACCCTCCAGAAACACCGATAATATACATAGGTGACGATCGTATAAAACGCGTGAAAACTTTTAAATACCTTGGCACCACAATCAATGACCAATCGGATCCACAACACGAGATAAAAACCCGAATACAAATGGCAAGATAAGCTTTTGTGAAATTCAGACCGCTCCTATGTAATCAAAACCTAAATTTCGAAATACGCTACAGAATGGTCAAGTGCTACATATGGTCCATCTTGCTTTATGGCATGGAAACGTGGACTTTGAAAAAAACATCTATCAACAAACTTGAAGCATTTGAAATGTGGTCATTGAGAAGAATGATGCGCATACCTTGGGTGGATAGAGTTCGAAACGATGACGTCCTTAAGAGAGCCGGCGTGGAAAGAGAACTCTTTGAATTAATTAAAAAACGCAAGATTGGTTACCTTGGGCACATATTGAGAGGAGCAAAATATGAAATACCACAGTTAATCCTACAAGGGAAGATCGAAGGTAGGAGAGGAGCCGGCCGCAAACAATTATCCTGGTTAAGGAATATTAAAGAATGGACAGGAATACACAATACAGGCGAGCTGTGTCACGCCGCCAAGAACAGAATTCTAGTAATGAGATAGTCGCCTACGCACTTTGGTGTATGGCATGTTAAGAAGAAGAAGATTATTCATTAAGACATCCAAATTAAGAAAGGCTCTCGTGCAAAAAGCTTACATATCAATCTATTTTTATCTGCCTAGCTTCAAATGCCGTTCATATTGAATTGAAATATGAAAAACAGATTGGGAGTTTATTTCACTTTATAGTCCATATTGGGGAGGTTTATGGGAGGCAACTATTATAAGTGCCAAATATCATCTCCGTCGCATGATAGGAAACGCTCGTCTCGTGTTCGAAATATTTATCACTATTCTTACGCAAATCGAGGCAATTCCTAACTAGCGCCCTATTTCTCTCCTATCCAATAATCTCTCTGATCTGCAATGCCTCACCTTGCGACACTTTTTAATTAGAAGCACTATTACTTCGTATCCTGAAAAAACATTGTTCCAGCTTCCGGTCAACAGACTCAGTTTATTTCGCTAGAAACGCTGGTCAGTTGAGTACTTAAACCAATTACATAGCCGCCTAAAACGATCTAAATTAAATGCAAATATTCAGAAAAATGATTTGGTCTCGCTAAAAACTGACAATTCTTCTCCTCTAAAATGGCCCACTGCTAGAGTGCTAGAAGTCTTTCCTGGTTCCGACAATATCGTTCGAGCTGTTAAGATTAGGACTGCTATGGGAGATCTCGTTCCATCCATAACTAAGTTATATCTCCTTTCTCAATTAGATTAATTGATTTCCCAATCAATGTCACCACTACGTCGTTCCACTTTTTCTTCTTATTTTTTGCCTACCTTTTCTCTTCTCCCTTTATACTCTTTCGTTTCAACGGGAGGGGGGGAGAGGTATGTTAAAGTCTTAGTTCG